ATTAGAGTTCTTCATAGTTTTGATATCATTAATTCTTCAGGAATTATATCCTTCAGGGACTTTTATAAAAGTGTCAAGTTCTTCTTTCATTGCCACACTTAATGAACTTGAAAGTTGCATCCACCACATGCCTATTACAACCCACTTGTTTTACACTTTTTAAGGTGTAAGGACTTCTGGTCCAAATGCATTTCTCTTTCTAAGAGATTTTAGTTTTACGTCTATTGCTTCTTTTCGATTTGGCCAAATCATTACTTTGTGTACACAATGCAATAGACTTTGTTTCTTGATCCTCTTTCTTATTCATAACATCAACTGCTAGAATGCATGCAAATATTTTATTTACGACGTCGATTTGCTTTTATGGTTCCATTTTATTCCATACATGACATAATTAATTCTCGAGATCTCTTCTTTGTCTCAGGTACCTGAATTTCTTTCTTGTCATGTTTAATATCTCTTCTTGAGATCATTTCAAAAACATTTGTTTCCTCGGTTTAACCATTATCAATTTATGCTCATTTTACTTTACCGAGGATCTAATATTTGGAACCAAGAAGTCTATCACACTTCATGCGTCTTTAGACTTACTAGCAGTTTGATATTGTCCTTCTGGGAAATCAATTATTCTTAGAGCATTTACAGCTGGTAAGTGACTCAACACTATATTTGGGTCAGTAATTGTATCTGGCAATTGATACAGTAAGTTTTGTGAATGAATTATCTTTTAGACTTTTATTTCACATACTATCGTCTGAGGATCAATGATAATTCATTCTAACTTTAATCTTTCTCCAGCTGTTTTATTTTCTCCCCCTGATGTTGGAAAGACTGAATCACTAAATGACAGTCTACAAATTGAGCCATATTTAAATCCTTCATGGATAGCTCTAGATATTATCATAGGAGATTAATATCCAACATACATTTACTATCCCTTTCGAGGGTCCATCTTATATTGTTGTGGTGGAGCATTATGAATGTATTCTGCACATCCATAGATCTTTAGATGGAAAACTTTGGTTTCTGACCTAAACCAATTACGATGGGGAGAACCTTTAGTTATTCATTGGCTTTATGCGAATTAATGCTTTTGCATTATGTGTAATGATGAACATTTGCTAGGATGTTCAACATTTATTCTTACAAACATGTTTTTCTCAACAAAGATTCGCAAACTTCAGGTTGCAGATATGTAATATTGAGACATACATAATGTATTTTATTTCGCATAATATCTTGAACTGAAATGGTCTAACCAGCTCATACCAAACTATGTTATATTTGGTAAACTTCTAGTTTACTACATAGCATTTACATCTCCTATATAATCTTTGTCTATGATGAGGCATTAGATAATGTATGTTATTTTTCAAAATAATTTTACACCATTGAGTTACATTATTTATGATTCATCAGGATTATTTTTAGTGTGAACATAATCTTCTAGATGTTCCACTTTTTAGTGATTGAGGGATTCATCCATTCTCCCCCTCGAGATGATGTCACTTCAGATTCATCAATCTCGAATAGAATCCTAGTATAAAATCATTAATATATCCAACTTGAATCATGTTTTATATCTTTGATTCATTAAACTTTTTATTTTTCTATTATGTGTTTGATTCTTTTCACTTATGGGATTTCAAAGATATAATGCATCAAAAATTATTTACTATAAGCAAATATAGATTTATATACTCTTCTGGAGATGTGTATCTTTTATTTGCTGCCATCTTTATTTTTTCACTTCTTGTGAGAATTTGAGTTCTTGAAATAAAACTCTTTGGTTTTGACCTTAACATGAACTATAAAAGATTCATATTCATGTCTATGATCATATCTTTAATGATTCATATCACATTCACTTTAAGGAATTGACCAAAACCAATTAGACAAGATTCAAGATTTTCATTAGTAACTCATTATTTTATCAAAATAATTTCTTAAACTTTCTTCAATAATATTTTGTCAGCTGGACAATATATGCCTTTTATTATCATTGATTTACATTATCTTCCAGATAAATAAAAATCATTTATAGACTTCAAGTCTTGTAATCTTAAATGCAAATACAAAATATTCATATAGAGGATAATTTAAAAATAAATATAATAATATAATAAAATAAATAAATAAATAATATCAATAACATTTCTGTTTTACTGTCACGTGACAATTTGAGTTTGTCATATTTTGTCTGTAAGACAATAATATTTAAAATTTCTTTGCTATTGTGTCTACTGGACAACAATATTTTTAAAATGTTCCTTAAATATATGCTATTGTGTCTACAGGACAACAGTATTTTCATAATTTCTTCTTACACATTTTTATTAGTAAACATTATCGTTTTATTATCACTTCAAGTGACAATCTAAGTTTGTCATATTTTATTTTGTCAGCAAGACAATAATATTTTAAAACACTTCTCAATATTACAATATTTTTTGTGTATACAAGACAAAAGTATTTCTCAAATTTATTAATAATATTGTGTCTACAAGACAACAATATTTGTATGATGATGTATTTTAACATCTTTGCATTAGTAGTATTATCTTTACTTATAAACTTCTAGTTTATATGTTTCTAGATGCAATAATTATCTTTAGATTGCTTTATTAATTCATATCACTTCAGGTGATTATTCATTTTCTTTAAATTGCTATTAGATCATATCACTTCTGGTGATCATACCTTTCTTTTTACACTATGGTAAAATTATTACATTTTAAAATCATGTAATGACAAATAAATACACTTATTAGTATATAATAATAATAATTTATTTGTTAAACCAAATCAACCCAATAAATAAAACAAATCAAGGGAATAATTATACATTTATTTATAATATTAAATCAAGATATGCAATAATATAATATATATTATTATTAGCAATGATCAAATGATGATTTAGCAATAATAAACAATCTCAAAATCAGTAATAAGCAATATACGAAGTTATAGTGCAAAATCAAACAATATTATTTTAATAAAACTGATCAAGATTCATTTTAACAAAGCAGTCAACAATCATTTAAATAATATTATTAAAAATATATATTCCAGAGTGATTTTAGCACTTATATTCAATTATAAATTCATGTGGTCAACAGGTCAACTTAAAAATTAATATGGTCAAGAATGCAATAATATTTCAAATTAATGCAATAATATTTCAAATGTCAAAATTATGCCAATTCAAATAATTATTAATTTCATTAATTAATTAAATATATTACGAAAATAAATAAATAAATGTGAAAAGCAAATAAATAATAATAAACAATATAAAATCATTTTGGGATATAAATAAGTTATAAATCCTGCAGGGATATATATAAAATAAATAAAATATAAATCCTTCAAGGATATAAATAAAAATAGAAACAAAATATAAATCCTTCATGAATATAAATAAAATATAAATCCTTCAGGGATATAAATAAAATAAATAAAATATAAATTCCTTCAGGGATAGAAATAAAATATAAATCCTTCAGGGATAGAACTAAAATATAAATTCCTTCAGGGATATAAATAAAAATAAATAAAATACAAATCCTTCAGGGATGTATATAATTTTTTTTCATAATATTAATCCTTCAGGGATATAATTTAACCAGACAAAAACAAATTATTCTAGCAATTGAATAAATATATTACGAAAATAAAATAAATATATATAAAGCATGTGTTTGCTGAATCCAAAATATTATCAATAAGTAATATAAATTAAGTATTGATAGAAATGGATTTTAGTAGAATAAACACAAATCAACAAAGTAATAGAGATTACTCATTGAATTTGTGAATTCACTATAAGAACTATTAGAACTTTTAGAACCTTTGATTTAGAGAGAAATAGAAAGCTAAAAGGTAGAGACTCGTGCTGATAACGTGTTGTGAGAAAAGGAGAAGAGAAATGAGCTTATTCATTCATTGGAGGTGATGATCCTATATATAGGATTACAAGTAGGGTTTATGTAGAGTTTATGTTAGGGAATAAGATCCTAATGGGCATCCACTTATTTACCCATAACATGTCTCATATTTTAAAATAAAAATGTTCCATATTATAACAAAAAAGGACAAATTATTTTTGCAGATTTTATATTCTAAAATAAAGGGATTTCATATTCTAACGAAAGAAAGAAAAATAAATATGCTCTATTTATCACCAAGCCCTATATAATAATTTAATTGTGTGCTTTCATCTTCTTTTCTCTTATCTCTAATTGTGTGATTCCATTATTTTAAGAATAAAAAACTTATGTTTTCCAAATTGTAAGAAAGTAATGGAGATTATTTCACTCTAAATCAAGTGGATCGAAATCGAAATTATCGTCATACTATAGTATGTATTATTCGAAAGTGGAAAGTTAGAAATCATAAGCTTCTATTAAATGACTATTACTGTTTATTATACAGCAAAAATGATGTATAATTATGTTATTAACATATTTCTTTTTCGGGTTTTCAATACTATTTTAGTTACATTTAAAAGTAGTCATGTTTTGTTTAATATTTTTTTTATAAATTGTTTCAAAAATCTTAAGATAAATAACCACGCAATAGTAAATCATGTTTTTTCGGGGCCTTAGTAAATCATAAACTAGAAATAGTCTATTTATAAATAACCACGCAATCTTTCCAACTTTTTAAAACTTTTTTTTTTGTCTGCGAACCAGAAGTCGGTAATTTAAGGAACGAGAATATATTTATTTGGAAAGACAGATAATTCATTCAAATGTAGAATAGAATTGAGTTACCAATTTAAAAGTAATACAAGGACCAGTTTGCACGCCACAAACACGATATTCAAATCCAATACAGAGGAACTATAATTCGAGATGGAGAGACAAGAAATTAATCAAATGATTATTATAGTGGAAAACACGAGTTAAATAAAAATTAAACAAGAAATAGAGGCGAGGGTAAATACCAATCAGATCCCAGAAGGGTCTTCAAGTTATGCACTTTGGTAATGTTTCTCAATTCTTCTGCATACATTCCTCAAAATCCAAGTTTCTCTGTTGCAGTGGCTGCAATGCAGATTCTGGCAATGTGTTTTGCTTCAGATTCTGTTTGATTGTTACTGTTTCCAACTTGTGTCTCCTCTTCAGCTTTTCCATTTTCTTCTTTAGCTTCTCATTTTGTTCTTCTACTTCGTTGAACTTTTCCTGCAACCAAATATATGTTCATTATCGGAAGCCCAAAACACAGAAAATAATCTCACACTCACTGCACAACAACAATGGTTCATCGATTCATATATGAAAATTTGGTTTGTTTTACCTCAGCAGCTGCTGCTGATTGTTCGGCTTCTCTGAGTCTAACAAGCACTTCTCCAGCTGTATGAACAGCTTCTGCAGTGTTCCTTAGTTGTATCTTAAGGTTTACGTTTTCATTCTTCAACAAATCTCTTTCTCTTTCTCTTTCTACTCTAAGTGCTGAGAGCTCCGCAGCAAGTGATTTAGCGAAACGAGAACCACAACCTTTTCTCCCAGCTTTTGCTACTGCCTTTTTCAACTCTGTTATCCATTCCACAGTTGATTTGTACCTTGAGCCTAGGTCGTTGTACTTCTCTTGTAGCTCTGTATAGTGTTCCACAAACCTGGCATGACCAAGAACTGCTCTATGAAGTGCATCCTCTAACTCCTCACCGGATAGTTTCTCTTGATTAAGCTGTGCTTCAGCTTTCTCTGCTCGCGTTCGTTGTGTTTCAATCTCAACTCTAAGCTCATCGGTCAGTGATATCCACTCGCTTTCCACTTCTGTGCACCTAAGCCTTTCTTCCTCGATATCTTTGTCAGCAGTCTTGTTAAGTTGAAAGGAACGGGCCAACAGAGATGATCTTAGTTCATTGGTGGACATAGTTACAGGCGTCTGCAACTTGCTTTTCAGATCTTCAATCTCTTTGAGTAATGCCTCCTTCTCGCCAATATCAAAGTTTGTCTTTTTAGAGTCATCATCTGAGATTTGTTTTACTTCATATTTTTCAGTTATGACTTCTGCTTGGTAATGCTCAACAACATCATTACTGCTGAGAAGCTGCAGAGCAATGAAATTGGGATATAAGTTACAATCTCAGATATTTTCTCTATCGGTAATTCACAGAGTAGATAAAAGCAATAACTCACCTGGTTTACATTTGCTGAACTTACTCGTTCTCCATTTCTTGCTCCCACAAGTTCTTCTGTATCCTTCTCAGTTTGAAGTTTGTGTTCCTCTACCTGAAGAAGACATGATAGTAACCAGACTGCATAAGCAAATGTGCTGATCCAAGTTTCAATAGACATAAGACACAGAAAATTGGGTTACCAAGCGCGTTAGCTGCTCAATCTTGGCTGCTTGCTCTGTGCACAAACTTTCAAGTTGTTGCTGCTTCTCAATAACCTCTTCCATTTGATGATATCCATCCTGATTCACAATGAACAACATCATTGTTAGCTTCGGAATAGCTCTAGTTTTCGTTAAAATCTATAAATCATACTTACTCTCTCAACTACACTTGACAGTTTGGGGCTGCAAAGCACAGTACAGTTGCTCTCAGATTTCTGTCTGCAGGAAGGACAGAGTGGCGACAGAGGTAGTCCATCATCTGTCTGTAGCAACTCTGTGGAAGGCTGCATAGTCAAGTTATCAGAACACAAAGAAACTGAACATCTGTTTGATGCATGGTTCAGAGGATTGTCAATAATATCCAAGCCTCTCCGCAGACTTGCAGCTAGAGATTCTGTAGAACCTGTGAATATCTTGCTTCCGCGTACAGATGATCTGATATGTTGGCTCTCTGCAAGACACACAGATCTTATGCTCTGCGCAAGGCTATTCTGATTCCTGAGACATGATGAAGAAAGGGCTATGCTCTTCCTTAGAGAGTCTCTGATTTTAGGAGACTCTGACTGGATTGGTTCTTGCAAGATTAATGATTCACGGCAAGTATTGATTGATATGCTGTTTTCCGATGCAAATTCCTCTAGCTTGGATACCTCAGTTGATTTAGTTATTGCTGCAGCACTGTCGTCGCCATGTTCTTTCAAAGATTCACCCAAATGTTTCTCTTCAGCTTCTGACCAAACCTCATCATCATCATCATCATCATCCATTAGCTCTGATTCACCGAATGCTGTTACAAAGGAAGAGCTGACTGACTCTCTGTTGACAGGTAGCTTCTTTAGTTTCTGGTGGAATGAACCACGCAAGGACTTGATTTGCTCATGAAGTTCCTTTACATCATCCTCATCAACCGTTGTCTCTTCCTCGTCAATATCAATTTTTGGCAGCATCAAAGAGCGGTTTAGACTAACTCTTAGTCGATTCAAACTCTCTCGTGCATTCTTTGCTCCGAAATAATCGTTTTTACTCCCAACAGAATGGCAAGCATCAGCCTTGGCTCTTGTAAGCTCTTCCTGCAAGAGAAAAACGGGTAAATGATCAATGAATGACACAGTCAATTTCAGAAACCGAGAGACAGAAAAAGGGCAACGGATTGGTGGAAGAGGAGATTAAACCTTTAGAAGACGAATCTGGTCACTCAAATCATTCACATCTTCTTCTGAGATCTCATTTATCACTGGTTTGTTTCCCATGGATTTAGCCCGTTCACCAAATCGAAGGCTGCTCAATGTTCTTTTTGTGTTTCTACGTCACACAAACAAACGCTATTAGTACATATAGTGGGCATCCTGTAATTAAGATCCTCTACTGTTTGGAATAAAATTGAATGTCAACAAGACCTGAGATTTTCCCTCCTTATCTCTTGCATATATCATTATATTGATTGAATCATTATATATGGTACAATCAGGCAGCTATGTTTATATTTAACTAATAAAAGATAAAAAGGTGAAGAAGAATACTTGTCGCTCGGAAGAATGTTGCAAAGGATAGTGAGTTTTGAATTTCCACCAAGCGATTCTTGCAATAAATGCGTCAAGCATGAGGTTTTATGAAGACTGCGGTCAGTGATTCCAGGGTCCACGTTTTTCGCCAGAGCATTGACAACATGGCTGCACCAATAGTAAGAATGAAAAAGTTAACAGATCACTAATAGGTACACTAATTTCTTACTTGAGACCCTTAAAAGCAACACATGTAATCCATAGAAGTTATACCCGAGCTCCGATAGAGACTTCTTCAAGAATTTCTCTTCCTCCACACAATGTTTTGTAGCATCATGTTCACTTTTTCCCGCTCCAGCAAGATCAACAAGGTTAATCCTGCTCGTTCTGGTGGTACTAAAACAGCTTGATGAAGCTCCCTGTCCACATATAATATTTGATCAATCGTTCATCAGAACTGAATAAAGCAAGAAAGTATTCACCAACCAACTATACCTTGCTCCAAGACTCAATAATGAAAGAAAGTATGACATGTGATCGAGAACTTTGAAAACTTGTGCTTGTTGCTCCAACTTTTCTACTTGACAGGCCCTGAAAAACAGAGCAGAATGCACACCAAACATGAGATATGGACATGAAATCAGTGAAGAAATGAACATTCCATCAAGAAAGCCGAATAAACATGTGCATGTTTCCATAACATAGTGAAAAAATAAACATAGTATCCATAACTTAGAACACTTCAATACTTAATATATGAAGCTAGCATCATACCTTCATCAGTATTTGAGAAACATCCTCGTAGCTATCTACATATTCCGCAGTCAAGTTTTCAACATAAATACCATTCTTTGCATCATCCTTTATCTGCCATATGACACAACAAATAATAAACAATTTACACTCAACAAAGATTAACATATTTAAACAAAACTGTAGATGGGTGAAGCTAAACCTTAAGGTTCCTCTGCGTTTGATCGATCAAGTCACTGATTTGTCCATTGTATATCTGCAGAAAAGGTTAAGCAACCAAAGTTAGCAAAGTCTAGAAGCAGGTTTCATCAAAAAAGAATCCATCATATAAGTTTGGAAAAGGCACCTCAAGAAAGGAACAACGGCACTGGTAGTTTACTTCATTTCCTCCGGACTTCATCCTCTCCTGCATAATGTTGAAAGTACGATGCTTTCTGATGAACAAACTATCACAGAGTCTAATCACCTATCAAAAGCTTAAGCAATTACTTACTCTCTGGATTTCAGAAAACAACATCTGAAAGATCCGAGGAGCGAGTCCTTGCTCGCCTTTAGGAGATGGATCCTCCAGCATTGAACCTGCTGGACCCCACATAGTGTAGGTCTTCCCGCTTCCATTCTAAAGATCGCAAATCAAGACAAAGAAAAGGGGTAAATTTCAGCTTCGTGTGGTGTTTATTTGGTCTCAATGGCTCCAAAGTCCAAAGATATAATCATTTCAGTACCTGTCCATATGATAGCACACTAGTGTTGTAACCTGACAATGCATCCAGAACCAAAGGAACACCTATTTGCTGGAATACATCGTCCTGGTATCCACAAGTAAACAAATTGAAAACAACTTCCGCTGATGAGAATTGTTCAAAACAAATTCTGTCCATTCACTCATTGGTGGGAATGAATTTTCACTTGAACAGAAAGAAATAATAAGAGAGAGAGAGAGAGACGAACCTGATTATGAATAGTGTCGAGAACAGAATCGAATGTAAATTGGCGATCCCTAACCGAATATGAGTCTTCGGAGACCTTTTTCACGGTCCAGCAATACTCTTTTGTAGGTCTAATCCTCACCACAACCTTGACATAAAACAAGCCAAATAATGTGAATTTTAGGAAAGAAGCAAAGACTCTTCAATTTCATGGAGCAAAGGATTCTCCAGAAATAGAAACAACCAACCTTAACATGGGGATTCGATGCTTCTTCTACATCATTGCGAGTTTTCTTCAACGCCGTTATCCCCCTTAGCTAATAATTTGTGTTCGAAATACAACCAAACAAAATTAAAACGAGATGAACCCCAACAATGTAATCAAACGAGCGTAAGAAATTTCAGAGTAGGATCTTCGCGTACCCGAGACGCTGAGACTTCACGTGAAGAATCGATCTGAGTCTTGAAAGCCGGTGATTTATAAATAGATTTGTTTCGCGGAGTATGGATGTTTGGATCGAGAGGAGGGGCGTTTTCGATGTCGGGTATGGAGGAGGAGGATCTAGGGTTTGGGTTTGAGTTTGGTTTCAAGTGTGCGGATACGGATTTGGGAAGGAAACTCCATTTTGAGTCTGCCATTGCTATCCAAATGACAGAGCTTGCGAGTTCGATCGAGAGAGAGATAGAGAGAATGGAGGAGAGAGAGCGAGAGAGAGGTTCAAATTTGAATTAGAGGGAAAAGAGTAATAATGCTTTTTGTCTTTTAATTTCTTTTTAGATGACGAAACTGATTTCTCTCGATTCGGATCTACTCCACTCGACCGTTGTTGGATTTCTGATTTCTCCTTTTGAATTTACTAGGTAAATACCCGCGTTTCGTTGCGGGAGAATATCATTGCATGTTTTCTTGTATTTGTATTAATTAAATTTAAGATATTATACTTTGATATTTTAATCGATTGTGATTACTTTATTTTTTTCCTTTATACTAAAATTGTTTACTAATGATTGGAAGTAAATAAGAACTTGTTTTTAGTTGTAACACTTTCGCTCAGTTTTTAGGAGATCAGTTTATATGGAAGTAATTTTTCCTTCTTTCACACTTCCGTTTAGTTTTCTTCAGTAAGAGTAAAAATTTCTTGTAGTGTTTTGTTTTTGTTAAATAAATTTTACAATGTACATGTTTCGATTTTCCTATTTTTTTGTGATCTTTGAAAAAATATTTTATTGTGGCTCGTGTTTAGCCTTGAAAGACGCAAGTTATCTAAATCACCCATTAGAGTTCTACATTTTCTAATTTTAGTCTCCTATTTGGAGATGCAATACGAGAATAAGAACTACAGCCAATACCAATAACGCATGGATTAATCTAATAGCCTTTGGTCTCTCTTTTAATTTCATAAACCAAAACTTGAAAAGAAAGAGAAAAAGTCTTGACAAACCAAAACCCTGGAGTTGTTGTTCTTGTTTCAACTGAGATTCTGTTGATCACGTTTGATCGATGGCAAAGGAAAAGATATGTCTTCACATAACAAAACTGAATGTTTAAATTCATTGGTGAGATCGGTGAAGATCTCATGAAAAGCTCTGATTCCCTTTCTTCTCCAAATCAGATGTAGAATCATGTCCTTCATGCAGATCAAATTCGAGGTCACTGAGGCTGATTCCATCCTGAATCACTTCTTCGTCCAAAGCTCTATGTGCCTTCTGCATTTGCTGACCAACAACAACATTCTCTTGTTGGATGACTCCTTCAGACTCCATGGAACCTCATGATGACCAACGCTCTTCAAAAGCTGAAAATCTCGCTCTTCGAATTCATATTCAACTGCTTAAGCCCAAAGTTGGTAAATTCAAGTAAATGAAAAGCTTAATCATAGAGACATAGACCAAGAAAGGGACTTAAAGCAATGAGAAGCTTCACGTAATTAGTAATAACTCAAAGACCACCTATTACAGAGCAGAAATGGAATCTTAAGTAAACCTATAAACAAATGCATAAATAACTTCCACCATAATTCGAGATCTGAGAGGCTTACCAAACGGAGCAAAATCGGTAACAGGTTGAGTGAACCATTTTTCTAGCTCCTCCTCCTCCATACAAACCAATTCTGGCTACTCTTTCTCGCTACCTTCTGCAATCTTCTTTGTCTCTGTTGCTTCCTTTCTTTAATTGTTGGCCTCTTCTGAATGCATCATAAGAGTTTGCACATTGTCGTATAAAACGCAAACCAATAATTTTGATGAAGAACAACCTGTAATTGAGTTGCTAGCTAAATAGGACGAACCAATTGAGAAATGAATTGATAAGACTTACCTCGCATGTCTTTACCTCAGATGTCTTTGCCTCTCTCAATAGGACGACCTCTCGCTAGAAAGTGTCGAGATTTCAGATCCAACATTGGCGTCGTTAATTCAATGTGCGTCCTCCTCTCCTCGGTATGGCTTGATCTTCGGCAAAATTCACCGCATCGTTTGGTATATTCTATGAGTTTCTTGGGGTGATCTCGTTGTCGAACAAGAAAATGGATTCGACGAGATTTCTTCTGGCAAATGGATCTGATTTCTGGTGATTTTGTTGTTGAAGAAGAACGGGATATTTCGAGGAAGAAGGAAAAATGCGACTTAACCGGATGATGAATAAAAGTAAGTAAACTAAAGCAGATTAAAAACGTGGCAAGCAAAACCGGAAAAGTTGCTGTGATTAATTGAAATGTTTCCATTGGTTGTTGCTTTTTACCGATGTGTCACTCTTAGAAAGCTTAAAAAAACTGAGGTGTCAACACCTTGTGAGATTTATTTTCAATTCATTGTTATTTTATAGGGGGATCAATTACAGTTACGCTTTCACAAATTGATTGTTTTGTCTATCTAAGATTTCATTTTGAAAAAACTAGGGCGTTTGTATAAAAAATTTAACTTTTGTAAATCTTATAATTTTTATTAAATAAATAAATAGTGAACTACAAAAAAAAAATTTCCATATATTTATATATCCAGTAGTAGTAGCAATGTAGTGCAAACATTTTTATGTTAACAAAATCGAACATTGCTATAGGTAAGCTAAGATTGAAGAATGATGATGCCCAAATTAGTTTTATTTCCTAAGGCATCATCATTCTTTCATCTTTGAATATTAAGACTTTCAATCAGAACAATTCTTAGCAAATGTTCAAGGTGCATTTAAAGTTTGCACAGAGTTCAGATAATTTTTTTTTATTATATAAAGTCCACATAAATTCGGTCAGATTCCGCATTCAGCAACATTCAACGGTTACCATTTATACCCCAAATTACAGGAGGGCTACAAAATGGAGCAGATGGAGCTGTCAATCGTGGACCTTTTTAAGACGGCAGAATCGTCCATTGTAGTCTGATAACAGTTCTCATAGTTTGTATTAGATTAGTTAATCAATGTTAAAAACATATATATAAATTATTGCATAGGATCAAAAATTTTGTCTTGTAACTGATTTTTTTTGAAGAAGATGAACGCAACAGAAGAAAGAAAATTCATGCATGTCCCCGAGTAGGCCTGCGATTTTGGGTGAACGGGTTGGTTTCGGGTATGGGTAGGTCGGGTAGTAGACCCTTGAACCCATATAGGTATCGAAATGTTTTCGGTTCGGTATAGGTTCGGGTAGGTTCGGGTATACCTATAAAATACTGAAATATACCCAAAATATTTCGGTTATAGTTCGGGTTCGGATATTTCGAGTATTTATCACCCAAAAATCCAAAAATATACCCAAAAACCCAAAAATTACCCAGACAAATATTTGTAAATCCGATTTAAAATATATATATATATATATATTGGAAATATATCTAAAAATCCAAAAACAATCTGAAAAACAAAAAAAAAATTATATTTATAATATCCAAAATAATCCAAAATATCCATAATTTGGATAGTTCGATACCGGTTCGGTTTGAGAATTACCCGATACTTACGGGTATTAAATATTTTACTCAATAAATGATTTACTATATACCCAAAATCAATGGGATACGGGTATTTCGGGTTGATACGGGTCGGATATTGGGGTAGGGGTTATAAGTCGCATGCCTATTCCTGAGGATGAACGATGGTTACAAACTTACAACGTTAGGGTTGTTAATGATCTCTGCCATTATCCATTGGGTTGTTTGCATTGAGGTATCAATGCCTCCAACGAAAAGCTCCTGCAGTGACAAAAGACTCTAAACTTTTATTAAGCAGTTTTCGTTTAGATCAATCCTTAAATCACATCGACATAATGAGAGGAACATTTACCACCAAAAATGACTTGTTTTTTCTTTTTCTTTTTCAAGATGACTTGATTTGTTTCCTAGTGATCTTATACTGTGAGCTTTCGTTTCCGTAAGCTTCCAGCATGCAACACATCCAAAATTATTATTTTTTAAACATTACTTTTTATTACACTGTCGGTGGAAAAAAACAAAAAATGTTACTTTGAAAAGTATGTTGGGGGGGGGGACACATGTTTGTATTTTTATTTTTAAGTTACCATTTTCTTTACGCGTTTTGCTTCAGTAAATATAGTGGAACTTGTTTCTTACTTCATAGATATCTTATCCAATGCCACTGTGATAGATTCTTTCTTCAACCTCTCTTTTACTGTACTCTCTCATGGCTTCTTCTTCTCATTCTGCTCACATTAAGAGATTTCATGTGTTCCCGAGCTTCCACGGCGCAGATGTCCGTAGAGCGTTTCTCAGTCATTTACACAATTACTTTGCAAACAAAGGGATCACGACGTTCAAAGATCAGGAGATCGAGAGAGGCCACACCATCGGACCTGAGCTCGTGAAAGCCATTAGAGAATCCAGAATCTCCATCGTTTTGCTCTCTAAGAACTACGCTTCTTCGAGCTGGTGTTTAGATGAATTGGTTGAAATCTTAAAGTGCAAAGAAGATTCTGAGCAGATCGTGATGACTATTTTTTACAATGTTGATCCGTCCAGTGTCCGAAAACAGAAGGGAGATTTTGGGAGCGCTTTCATCAAAACTTGTGAAGGGAAAACTGAGGACGTGAAGCAGAGATGGAGCAAAGCTTTGACCGATGTTGCAAACATTGAAGGAGAACATTTTCTCAATTGGTATGAATTTTGTTGGTGTTGTGTCTTTCTCATGAAATTGTGAAACTTTTGTACATTAAAACATTGAAGGACAACGTACTCTCAACAGAATTTTGTTTGCTTTTTGTTAGGGCTAACGAAGCAGATATGATCACAAAGATTACTAAAGATGTTTCCAAGAAACTGAATGTTACACTATCAAGGGATTTTGACGACATGGTGGGACTGCAAACTCACTTGAGAAAAATGAACTCTTTGTTAGGCCTCGAGCGTGATGATGAAGTGAAGATGATTGGCATTTGGGGTCCTGCGGGGAATCGGTAAGACTACCATTGCTAGAGCTTTATTTACCCAACTCTCTAGCGATTTTCAACTTAGATGTTTTATGGGAGTAGGAAGTTATAGGAGCGTAAATGGTGTTGATGACTATGATTCGAAGTTGGGTTTACAAAAGAAACTTCTGTCTAAAATTTTGAACCAAAGGGATATAAGGGTAGATCATTTAGGTGCGGCAAAAGAATGGCTACATGATCAAAGAGTGCTTATCATTCTTGATGATGTAGTTGATCTAGAGAAACTAGAGGCTTTGGCTAAAGAACCTTCTTGGTTTGGTTTCGGAAGTCGGATCATTGTTACAACACAAGATAAAAAGATTTTAAAGGCACACGGGATAAAAAATATCTACCATGTGGATTATCCATCCGAAAAAGAAGCTCTAGAGATCTTATGTCTATCTGCATTCAAACAAAGTTTTGTACGAGATGGTTTTGAAGCGGTTGCAAGTAGAGTCGCTATGTTTTGCGGTAATCTTCCATTAGGGCTTTTTGTTGTGGGTTCATCTCTGCGTGGGGAGAGCAAGAACGAGTGGGAGCTTCAGTTAACTAGGATTGAATCTAGTCTTGATAGAACGTGCTAAGAGTGGGATACGACAGATTGTTGAAAAAAGATCAAGTTTTGTTTCTCCACATCGCATGCATCTTCAACGGTTACAGTGTTGATTATGTGACAAGCATGCTTTCTGACAGTAATTTGGATGTCGGAAACGGGCTTAAGACCTTAGCCGTCAAATCTCTTGTGAGATTCGAAAGTCGAATTGTCCCTTATCAGGATATAGTGATGCATTCTTTACTAGAAAAAATGGGTAGACAAGTAGTGCATGAACAGTCTGACGAGCCTGGGAAACGTCAGTTTTTAGTAGAGCCCCAAGAGATTTGTGATGTACTAGCAAATGATACAGTAAGTTTTTACTTACTCATCGAAATAAAAAAAATTTGGTACGTGTTTTTTATAACAATTTTAACCGGTCTTGTTTTGAATGTTTTGTTCAGGGCACTGGATCTATCGTAGGTATCATTCAATACTTCCACGGTTGCACAGTTCTGTATAAGTAAGCGAGCCTTTGAAGGAATGCGTAATCTCAAATTCTTGATAATATGCTTTGGTTATTTTTTGAGGTCAAATTATTGAATACATACCTTCTATAAAGTTACTACGTTGGGATTCATACCCGGGAAAACGTCTTCCTCGAACATTTCGAACGGACTGTCTCATCGAACTCTATATGTCATGCAGCGATCTAGAGAAGCTCTGGGATGGAATTCAGGTTGGTATTTTGTTTTTAATTACAAATATTATAACTCGAGGTCCAGAATATAATCTCTCAATAATTTGTTGTGTTGTTTTGTCACATGTAGCTCCTTCCAAATCTCAAGACGATAAGTCTGGGATTTTCTGAAAGGCTGAAAGAAATCCCAAATCTTTTGGAGGCTCCTAATCTCGAGACATTGACACTTAGGCATTGCTCAAGTTTGGTGGAGCTTCCCTCCTCTATTAGGAATCTACACAAACTGAAAGAGTTGGATATGAGTGGCTGCATAAAGCTAAGAGTTGTTCCCACTAACATTAACCTTGCATCTCTTGAGAGAGTCCACATGAGTGGTTGCTCACTGTTAAGAACTTTTCCAGATCTTTCTAGCAACATCAAACATCTTGATGTAAGAGACACAAAGATAAAAGATGTTCCTGCATCTGTTGCTGGACGTTGGTCGCGTTGTACGTGGCTTCAGATAGGCAGCAAAAGCCTCAAGAGATTAACACACCTCCCGCAATGTGTGTAACGAAGCTAGAGCTAAGCAACAGTGATACAAAGATGATTCCAGATTGCGTCACCGGTCTCCCTCATCTAACAGATCTCATCATCCAAAATTGCAGAAAACTGGTGTCATTACACGGTCTTCCGCCTTCACTTTTAAAACTCGATGCAGCTGATTGTGGATCGCTCAGAAGCGTAAGTTTGGGTGAACCAAAAAAGTATACTACGCTCAACGACTGCAAGAGTGTATTCCATTTTCTACGATCCTAAGAGACTAGTCCTATTCAATAACTGTTTGTCACTAGATGAAGAAGTAGGAAGAGTAATCATACAACTATGGGATTACAAGTATGTATTCTTACCAGGCAAACAAGTCCCTGCAGGGTTCACTCACAAAGCCACGGGAAAGTCCATAACCATCTCTCAAGGGACTTTTTCTCTGTCATCAAGATTTAAGGCTTGCCTCTTGCTTTCACCAAACATAATGGTCCAGTTCGGTTATGATGTTATTTGTCGTCTAAGAAGCAAAGGTGTTGTCATCAATGAACTTGTGCTTTCCGAAGAATCACGGCCTTTTCAACTGTATCCACAACTCCTAACAGAGCACATGTTAGTATTTTCTGGGGCCCTGTTTAAAGAACACAAATGCGTTGAAGTGGACACGACTAAGAGCGAGATTCTATTTGAATTCATGTGCGATGAAAACATTATTGAGTGTGGTGTACAGATCTTGGCGGAGGAAAGTGAAAGTAGCAGCAGCAAATGGACCGAGGAGAGTGATGGAGCCGTTGAGTTTTCGAAAGATGAAAGTGTCGTGAAAAGCAGCAAGAATACAGGTTGGCTTAGTAAGCTTGGTCTGAAAAAAGATAAATAAGACAGAGTGAAAGTCTGTCGGAATCATGTTTCCATGCCTATTTTTGTCGTTAGATTAGATACTTCTGTATGACTGAATCCTTTTACTATTGTCCTAAAGATTGAATAAATGACAAAAGACTTGTATCGCTACATTGCTTTCTAAGAAGAATGCTATAAAGCTTTGGTTTTAGGATATAGATTGCTTGCATAGTTGCATGCATGCTTTCATATTTCAAAGTCACTTGCAAGAGGTCAAACAAGCTTTGGGACATGGGTGAGATTGTGTTTGGAACCGGCTGCAGATTATTGGGTGGTTTGAAAGATAATATGAGCGTTGGTCAATAATAGATCAAGCATACCCCAACTTTATTTCTAGGCTAGATCCACTAGTTGATGGAATTTCATCAGTTTCCAAGTCACTTAGGTTATATATGAGTGCAACAACTAGTGTGGGGGTGAGGAATAGAAAAATTCAAGACCTGTTTACTACATTTAGAGATATATAAGTAGAGCAAAATATGTTCTTCATTGATTATTTCTGTTTGATCATCTCTAAGATCTTGAACCAAGTTAGGTTTCAGGTTTTATCATCTCCCAAAAGCCAGAGAAAGAAAAAAGATATGAGATTCTTAAGTTACAGAAACACAGATTGGCACAATACTAAATACCAAACTCAAAACCTTTATAATCCAATATAAAAACATAAACACAGAACCAGTCTTTTACTTTGACAAGCGAAATCTTCCATAGACCCTCATTAAATCTAAAGCTCAACAAACAAAACCCCTAAGAGATAAGATTTTCTGCCTCCCTTGTCAAGCCTAGAAAATTTGCCCATCTCAGGATAAAGAAAGGAAACAATGGTAATAGTGAAGGCCAGAATTTGATACATGAAAAGCCTTGATAGCACTCAAGTTGAATCCTCCAGTGTTCTTTTCCGGTAATCTGGAGTTTACAAGTTATAAAAACAAAGTTTTGGTTCGAGGAACTGGAGTGCAGTCAAGGGGATGAACCATGGTTAGGTTCATTCCTTCAAAAGTCTCTTCCATGCTAACCTTATCTCCTTTGATCTTCCAGTCAAAGCACTGCACCATCACTCCTATTGCGGTTCCAACAAACATATAAGCTAGATTTGCTCCAGGACATCCTCTCCTTCCGGCGCCAAAAGGAAGGTACTTTAGCGTTTGCTCTCTCTCCTCTTTTTTCCCTGACTTTGAAGAAGCTAGAAACCTCTCTGGCTTAAACTCGTTAGGATCTTCCCAAGCATCAGGATCTCTCATCACAGCATATGCATTAACAACGAGTGTCGTCTTCTCGGGTATGTAAAACCCTTTTATCTCACAACTTTCTTGGAACTTTCTTACCAAGAGAGGTCCGGGCGGGTGCAGTCTCAGCCCTTCCTTAACCACTGCTTGCAAATAAGGAAGATTTGGTATATCTGTTTCTTGAATCAGCCTTGTTTCCCCTACAACGGAATCAATTTCTGCTCTCAGTCTCTCAAGAGCGTCAGGGTTGTTAGTGATCTCTGCCATTAACCACTGTGTTGTTTGCACCGAGGTATCAGTGCCTCCAACGAAAAGCTCCTGCAGTGACCAAAGACTCAGAACATTTTTCAAACAGACTCATAACATTTTTCAAGCAGTGACGTAATGAGAGGAACATTTACCACAAAAAACGACTTGATTTGATTCCTAGTGATCTTATACTCTGAGCTTTCGTTTCCATAAGCCTCCAGCAACACATCCATCATATCCGCACCTTGATACTCCTCCTCCTCCAGTTTCTCATTGTGTTCCACAAGAATCTTCTCTAGCAGCTTATCGAATCTATCAGAAACACTCATTATATCCTTCTTGAAGAGTGGATCCGAAGCTTCTTGAGCGGTCTGCGCAATAAAGCTGCAAGGAACATCTTCTTTGTCAATGCATATGATTCATCAACCAAGCCTCTGACTTTCTCTGCCTCACCGTTTTCCTCTGAAAAACTCCTTCCCATGCTCATCCTGCACAACGTAGTGTTCACTAGCTTCATCATTTCCTTACTGATCTCAACACTCTCGGCCTTTCTCGCCTTATCGACAAGACTGTTGTAAAACCGCTGTAGCTCTTCAGCACGGATACCTCGCGACTGTGGTTGGAGAAGCTTAGTGGCGATGAGCTTCTTCATGAGCTTCCAGTAGTCTCCATAAGGAGCGTTGACGATGCCAGAAGATCCAAACAAGAGGGACTCATCAATCGCAGCAAGACCGCGAAAGGAGATATTCATGTCGTGGGCCCTGCAGATCTCGTAGGCCACTGAGGCAGAGGAGACGAGAATGATGGGGACATTGAAGATGCGAATATGGAGAAGAGGTCCATACTTGGTGGAGAGTTTCTGAAGAGACTTGTGTGTTAGAGGAGATAGGAGAAGGTGAAGGTGGCCGATGATCGGAAGAGAAGGAGGGCTCGGAGCCAAGTCGTGAGTCATTTGGTTTCTTGAAGAAGAGAGAGTAACAGAGGATTGTGAAAAAGCAGAGGAGGATGAAGATGAAGCAGTTCTGAGAGTCAACGAAGACCATTGTTGCCACTGTTTCTCAAGAGTGAAGAGGCACATGTATGAAACATAATCAAGAATGAATATAAATAATGTAACGACCCAAAGTCCAACCATGCTTTGTTTATTTACTGCTTAAAATAAACAGGTTCTCTCTGGAAGAACGTGAAATAATGGACAGCTGTGGAAAACTGGAAATAATGTATACATTCAGATCAGAAGTTTTATCACCCGTGATCAAATTGATGATATAATTTTAATAATCATAGTACGAATCCTCCCAAGGTGAAACAATAAATAGTGCGAGTTGAGGAATATAAAAATTCAAGATTGACTCACAATGGAACTTCCATTATGGAATCAGCATTTCCAATGCTTTCCCGCAACAAGTTCTTCCTCTGCCTCGTTTAATATATATTTTGACTCAAAAAGTGATGGCAAGACGTTCCTCTCCACTATTGTTCAACAAACCTGTTTACCACATTTAGCGATCTATAATTAAGTAGAACAAAATATGTACTTCTTCTTTGATTATTGCTGTTTGGTCATCTTTAAGATCTTGAACCAAGTCAGGTTTCAGGTTTTATCATCTCCCAAAAGCCAGAGAAAGAAAAAAGATCTCGAGATTCTTAAGTTACAGAAACACAGATTGGCACAATACTAAACACCAAAATCGAAACCTTTATACTCCAATATAAAAACATATACACAGTACCAGTCTTTTTCCTTTGTCAACCGAAATCTTCCATATACCCTTTCAAAATCTAAGGCTCAACAAACAAAACCCCTAAGAGATAAGATTTTCTTCCTCCCTTGTCAAGCAAAAAAATCCAAATAGCTATAGATAAGCAAGAGTCAAGAATGATGATGCCTTAACTTTGAATTAGAAGCTGAACAGAACAAAAGAAAGCAATTTTCTTACACGATTTCCTGAGTTGATTGTCAGGAGAAGGGAATCTGGAGACTACAAGTTATAGAAACAAAGTTTGGGTTCAAGGAACTGGAATGCATTTAAGCGGATGCACCATTGTTAGGCTCATTCCTCTAAAAGTCTCTTCCATGTTGACCTTGTCTCCTTTGATTCTCCAGTCAAAGCACTGCACCATCACTCCTATCGCCGTTCCTACAAATATATAAGCTAGATTCACTCCAGGACATCCTCTCCTTCCACTACCAAAAGGAACGTACTTTAGTGCTTGCTCTTTCTCATCTTCTTCTTCCCCTGATCTTGAAGAACCTAAAAACCTCTCTGGCTTAAACTCATTAGGATCTTCCCAAGAATAAGGATCTCTCATCACAGCATATGCATTAACAACGAGTGTTGTCTTCTCCGGAATGTCGAACCCTTTGACCTCACACCTTTCTTGGAACGTCCTCGTCACAAAAGGCGCTGGCGGGTGCAATCTTAGTCCTTCCTTAACCACTGCTTGCAAATAAGGAAGGTTTGTTATATCTGTTTCTTGAATCAACCTTGATTTCCCCACAACATAATCAATCTCTTCTCTCATTCTCTCAAGAACGTTAGGGTTGTTAATGATCTCAGCCATTGTCCATTGTGTTGTTTGCACCGATGTATCAGTGCCTCCAACGAAAAACTCCTGCAACAACAAAACTCAAAAACATTTGTTTGGATCATCAAATGAGAAATATATATAATCGACCAAATGAAGAACATTTACCACAAAAAATGACTTGATTTGATTCCTAGTGATTTTATACTCTGAGCTTTCGTTTCCATAAGCTTCCAACAACACGTCCATCATATCCATGCTGTGATGCTCCTCTTCCAGTTTCTCTTTGTGTTCCACAAGAAGCCTCTCTAGCAGCTCGTTGAATCTGTTAGAAACATCCATTATATCTGTCTTGAATAGTGGGATCCGAAGCTTCTCAAGCGGTCTGCGTAGTATAGCTGCCAAGAAAACCTTCTTCGTTAAGCCATATGATTCACCAACCAAGCCCCTGACTCTCTCTGCCTCACCGTTTACCTCTGAAAGACACCTTCCCATGACCATCCTACACAAGATGTTGTTCATGAGCATCATCGCTTCCTTAGCAATCTCAACCGTCTCATTCTTCCTTGCTTTATCAAGAATGCTCCCGTAAAACCGATGTAGCTCCTCGGCACGAACACCTCGTGAGTCGTCCAGCGCCTGTTGTCGGAGCAGCTTAGTGACTATGAGCTTCTTCATGAACTTCCAGTAATCTCCATAGGGAGCGTTGACGATCCCATAAGATCCAAACAAAAGTGACTCATCAATCGCAGCAGCACCGCGAGAGGAGATGTTCACATCGTGGGATTTGAAGATCTCATAGGCAACTGAAGCAGAGGAGACGAGAATGATGGGGACACTGAAGATGCGGATATGGAGGAGAGGTCCATACCTGGTGGAGAGTTTCTGAAGAGACTTGTGGGTTAAAGCAGAGAGGATAAGGTGAAGATGGCGGATGATCGGAAGAGAAGGAGGGCTCGGAGGAAGATTAAAGCAATCCTTTGGTTTCTTGAAGAAGAGAGAGTAACAGAGGAGTGAGAAGAGGCATAGGAGGGTGAAGATGAAGCAGTTTTGAAAGTCAACGGTAACCATTGCTGCGCTTGTTTCTCAAAAGTGAAGAGGAAGATGAAGCAAGCATAATCAAGAAACCATGAATATAAATAATTTACGACCCAACAATGCTTTCGTTTATTACTACATAAAATATGATTTCTCTTTGGAAGAATAGTGAAATAATAAACAGCTAGAAGAAACTTGCTCTTTTTATAAAATAATATATACTCAGATCTGAAGTTGTCACTCGTGATCAAATTGATAAGATAGATAATTAATTATTCAGAGGTCAAATCCTCCCAAGATGACTAAACAATTAAACAGCACGGTCCAAGATTAGCTCACAGTTTATGCAATGTCCCTCACTAGTCACTACTGTGTTTCCAATGCTTTCTCTCAAAGATGCAAAAAGTTGTTCTTCCTATTCCTCATTCATAACCTATAACTGAAGGAAAATCTCAAAAAGAAGGAGACAGTACCATGAAATCTGTTTGAATATAATCTAGAATAACGTCCTCTTTTACTCACAGAGATTTAAGAGAAGGAAACTCGCAAGAAGACTACTGTTCTTGAGCAATATTGGCTGATTTTTCTTGTAATGAAACAATGAAACCAAATATGCCTAAACACTAAAACAGATGTGATTCTAAAGATAACTTACTCACCAGATGGGAGGTTTTGTTGCAGGGGTTGCGTTTGAATCAAAGTCACAAGAGCCAGTCATGGTAGTCCCTTCCCTCCTCGAGACATGAGAATCGCGTTTGAATCTGGTAATCTATAACCCAGCATGGAAACAGATGTAATACCTAAAAATGAGGGGATTCTTTGCTCTGATACCATTTCAACCCAGTTGAGAGAAAAGAAGAGGATAAAGCAAAACAGTACAGTGTTGTTTCTTAACGAAAACTGGAAAAGAAAAGAAAAATCAAATCTAAAAATGTTAACGGGAAACGAAAACCAAAAGCTTCCTCACTAGCAGACTCCTATAGCCTTAAAGGTCTCCGAGTTCAAGGGTTAAGGTTCGAGGAACAGGAGTGCACTTAAGAGGATGTGCCATGGTCAATGTAACTGCTCCAGCAGTCTCATTCATGTTGACTTTATCTCCTTTGATTCTCCAGTCAAAGCACTGCACCATCACTCCAATCGCTGTTCCTAGAAAGATATAAGCTAGATTCGATCCAGGACAGCCTCTCCTTCCGCAGCCAAAAGGAATGTATTTGAGGCATTCCTCTCTTATCTCCTCCTCTAGTCCTGATTTTGAAGAATTCACAAACCTCTCTGGCTTGAACTCCTCAGGATCTACCCAGAAATCAGGATCTCTCATTATAGCATATGCATTAAGAACGAGTGTCGTCTTCTCCGGTATGTCGAACCCTTTGATCTCACACCTTTCTTGAAACGTCCTTATCAAAACAGGCGTCGGTGGATGCAATCTTAGCCCTTCTTTGACGACCGCTTGCAAGTAAGGCAAGTTCGGTAAATCTGTTTCTTGAATCAGACTTGTTTTCCCTACCACAGAATCGATTTCTTCTATCAGTTTCTCAAGAATGTTAGGATTGTTAATGATTTCGGCCATGGTCCACTGTATAACGTGTGTGGAGGTGTCAATGCCTGCAACGAAAATATCCTGTAGTAGTAGCAAACGTTCTTAGTCAGGACTACCAAATGATCATTGCTTGGACTTTGCAAAAGAGAGGAAAAAATTTACCGCAAACAAAGACTTGATATGGTTCCTAGTGATGTTGTACTCTGCGTTTTTGTTTCCATAAGCTTCTAACAGCACATCAACCATGTCAGTAACTTCATGGTTCTCGCTCACTTTCTCTTCGCATTCGACAAGAATCGTCTCCAACACCACGTCGAACCTCCGGGAATAACCAGTTAACTCCTTTTTGAACAGCGAAACCCCGAGTTTCTTGAAGATGCCCGCCAAGACAAATTTCTTCAGAAAGGCATCTGACTCGGTCACTAAGCCCCTGACTTTCTCTGCTTCACCGTTCTCCTCTGAGCAACTCCTCCCCATAAGCATCTTGCAGATGACGTTGTTAATTAGCTTCATTGCTTCCTCGCCAATATCAACGGTCTCTTTCTTCATCGCCTTATCGAGCAAGTTTGAGTAGAACCGCTTTACCTCATCTGCACGGATGCATCGTGACCTATGGAGAGCTTGAGGTCCGAGGAGCTTGGTGACGATGATCTTCTTTGCGTACTTCCAGTAGTATCCGTAAGGTGCGGTAATGAAGCCAGATGATCCGAAGAAGACAGAACTCTCGTTTGTCATAGGGAGGTTACGAGTGGAAACGTTTAGGTCTTGGGACCTAAAGATCTCATAGGCTATTGAGGCAGAGGAGACGAGAACTATGGGGACATTAAAGATGCGGAGATGGAGGATAGGTCCATACTTGAAGGAGAGTTTCTGTAAAGTTCTGTGGATTAGAAGAGAGAGGAGAAGGTGAAGATGGCCAGTGATTGGTAGAGACGGAGGGCTCGGAGGCAGATCACAGCCGACCTTTGTTTTCCTGACCAAGAAGAGAGAGTAAAAGATGACTGAGAAGAGGCACATGACGATACAGATAAAGCAGATTTGAAAGTCAACGGTGAAAATTGCTGCCATTGTTGCTCAAGGTGAAAAGGCAGATGAGAGAAAGTATTAACTCTCACTTATAATAACGAATCTATGAATGATCATGCTTTGTTTATTACCTATAACCTATTTTAAAGTGGTTTTTCTTTTCTTTCTGGAAGACCCGTGAAACGATTAATAAGTTCTTCGCCACACTCATGATCATATTAATAATTAAACGAAACGATTCAAGATTGACTCACAGTGTAAGTTATGTCCTTCACTAGTCACTGCTGTGTTTCCAATGCTATTCTCGCAGTGAAGCAAGAAGATGCTCTCACTTTTCCTCTTTCAAAACCTGATTAGTACATATAATAAGCAATCTATAAGTGAAGGAAAACCTCAAAAAGAAGAAGATGTATACTAGGCATGGAATCTAAAATCCTCTTTTGCTCGTACATATTCAATCATCTCTTCCTCGTATACTATTAGAGAAGGAAAATCTCAAGACGTAGGAAGAAGTCTACTGTTCTTATCATGCCAGGTTGATTTTTCAGGTAATGAACCAAATATGCATAAACACTAAAACAAATGTGATTCATAAACATAAATTACTTACTGATGGGAGGCTTTTTTGCAGGGTTTGTCACTGGATTTCGAAGCCGAAATCTCCACGTATCATCCTTCATCACTCGAAATTTGCTTGCTTTGTGGACATGAACCTAATCAACGTCCCAAGAGCCAATCATAGGTAATCCTCGAGGAATGAGAATCGCTTTTGGATCTGGAAATCGATAACCCATATTCGAAAAAGATAACACCTAAAAATTCAACAATTTCAAGATGAGTCAAGCGAGACAGAAGATGGAAATCAATAAAGATGAATCAATTAACAACTATAAGCGAATAAGATTACGAGAAACTGATGGGTTCTTTGCTCTGATGCCATATTTTATCTCAACAGATTCAATAAAAGAACAAAGACTACTGAGAGAAAGAAAACGACAACTACAAACTACAGACTAACATCTCCACCTAAAATTTTATAATCAATTTATTACAGTAATTAAATTCAGTAATCTTGGAAATACCTATCCTAAAAACATCGGTAATTGTTAATCGGAAGAACGGTCAAAATTTGAAATTTAAAAAAATCGGAGATTAAGCGGAGATTAAACGAAGATGAAATTTTTACTATATTTTATATAATTTTCAAACATTTTCACATAGTATATAAGAGTCATTTACAGTAATAGACACTTTTGACTTTTTTTTTTTTACAGTTATAAGCATTTTGTGCTCATAAAGAACTTTGGAGTGTTTTAATCACCAAAAAGCCTTCTTTTCTAAACTCTGAGTTTTCTTATATGTTTACCCAACATATGCCATTTCACCTTTCTTTTCACCGTCGTTCTCCACCGCTTCTCCTTCCGTCTTTGATTTAGGATTTTGGCCGGTCACTAAAAATCACCAACTCCCTTCTCACTCTGTCGTTCATCACCATCACCGAAGCTAAGAAGAAGAGTTGATGGATCTGAAAAAAATTATGTTGTTATTAGATGAATCTGGGTTAATTCGCGATCTGGAAAATTTTCTGTTGTTATTAGAAGAAAAGCTATTGGATCTGGAAAACTTGCAGTTTCGTTGAAATTTGGAGAAGATGAATCTGGGTTAACTCGCGATCATGTCCACATCTACATGTCCATGCAGTCGTGTACACGTCATGAGCGCCCATCTGGACGTCTTTGTTTGGATAATTATTTTGGAATATGAATGGATATGGCATGACTCAAACCTCACCATTGAATTGTATGTTTAGCAAGTTTCAAGAGTCTTATACGATCATGATCATGTCCATACGATCATGCCATGGGAGGCGTACAACTGCAATGCCGGCGGTAGTAGTGTCGTATCTGGTAGCTGTGACACGAACATGGTCATTGGTGGACCGAATGATGTGGATGGGAACCGTGACTGATGGACAGCAGTCCATGGACGGTGAACTCCAACTGCCTAAGGGTGATATCGTTGGACTAAATCTTCTTTCATCAACATATACGATTTATTGTACAAAAATCCCATCAATCAAGATTTTGTCATGGCTATACTATTGTATTTAAAAGTTATTGTGTTGCTAGCTTTAGCTTTGGCGTTTTACATCATTTCTCAACTTCATGTCTACTTTAACCTCAACTGTCAATACATTAGTGCTTTTGGGTGAGGCACCCCTCATTTTCACTTTTGTTTACAGTTTTAATTGTTTGGAATATAAACAATTTGTTTATGAAAAACAGTTACTTGGAGTAGATCCTGATGAGCAACTCTGATCCTGCTAAGTAGATATGCTTGATCCACTGCCTCTAAACCCAAAGGCCCATGCGAAATGGCACACAAACGCAAGGTACTGATCTTGCCCACTAAAGACTCCACATCTCGCTCAACAGCTGAATCATACCTCCGTCTACTCAACGCGTCCGCCATTAGGTTAGCCTTGCCCGGATGGTAAGCAATGCACCTGATAGTCCGCCAAGAACTCAACCCAGCGCGTCTATCTCGCGTTCATCATCGGCTGAGTAAAGATATGTTGTAGACTCTTGTGATCTGTAAAGATCTGCACTGTCTCACCCAACAAGTAAGACCTCCAAATCTTCAGGGCAAAGATCACTGCTCCCAACTCCAGATCATGTGTAGGACGGTTTCGCTCACTGCCCTACCACTGTCTCGAAGCATATGCAATAACTTTGTCTCTGCATCAGCACACATCCAAGACCAATACCTGAAGCATCTGTATACACCGCATAAAGCTTCCCTAGCTCGGGTAACGCCAAAACCGGTGTAGTAGTCAACATCCCCTTGTGATTACCAAAGCTCTCCTCACGCTCAGCTGACCAAATAAACGAGACATCCTTCCCAGTCAACTTCGTCATAGGCTGCGCCATAGTAGCAAATCCCTTGACGAATCTCCTGTAGTAGCCTGCTAACCCCATAAAACTCCTGATATCTGTAGCAGTACTAGGTCTAGGCCAATCCTTGATAGTCTCAACCTTAGCCGGATCCACAGAAACTCCCTCTGCAGAAACAATGTAGCCAAGGAATCCCATCTCTTGCTGCCAGAAACTGCACTTCTTCGACTTAGCAAAAAGCTTACGCTCCCGAAGCTTCTCCAGAACCAACCTCAAATGAGTCGCATGCTCCTCTAGACTCCTCGAATACACCAAATATCGTCAATGAAAATGATGACGAACACGTCCAAATACTCCCTGAACATGTCATTCGTCAATCTCATGAAGACTGCCGGCGCTTTAATCAAACCAAAGGGCATCAAAGTGCCCATAACGCGTCCCGAAAGCAGTCTTCCAAACATCTGCCTCATCTATCGGACATCTGCCTCATCTATCGGGATCTGATGATACCCCGATGCCAAGTCAATCTTGGAGAACCAAGTAGCACCCCTCAACTGATCCAACAACTCATCAATCCTCGGGAGTGGGTACCTGTTCTTCACAGTGACTCGGTTAAGACCTCTGTAATCAATACAAAGTCTGAAACTGCCATCCTTCTTCTTCACAAACAACACCGGTGCTCCCCACGGTGAAACACTTGGTCGAATGAACCCCTTAGACAAAAGGTCCTCTATCTGCTTCTTCAGCTCTGCCAACTCAGCTGGCGCCATCCTGTAAGGCGTCTTCGATATCGGTGCTTCCCCGGCTCTAACTCAATCGTGAAAGGATCAGACCGAGATGGTGGTAATCCCTTCAGTGACTGAAAGACATCCTCAAAATCCTGGACAACCTCAATATCTCCCATAACAACTCCAGCTCCTGACTCAGACATAGAAATCGTCGCCAGATACGCCTCACAGCCCCGCACTAACAACTGCTCGGCCTGAATAGCAGATATCACAATACTCCCGGAAGTCGGTCTCACTCCCTGATAAACCAACCTCCCTGCATCTCGCTCGAAGACCACTCTACCTCTGTAGCAATCCAGATGAACTCTGTAGTGTGACAACCAGTCCATCCCGAGAATAACGTCATACAGCTCCACCGGACTGATGACTAAGTCTGCTGGCATTGACTGCCCCGCAATCTCGATCTCGACTCCTCTAGCACGGCCCAAAGTAGACAAGAATCCACCTCCCGCCACCTTGACCATGCCCGCGCTCTCGCCCGCGCTACTCCGGATGCCACTCTTCTCGGCACGCTCCGGTGTAATGAAGCAATTCGATGCTCCAGAGTCGAATAAAACGTGGGACTCAAAACCGCCCACTAACAAGGTCCCTACACATTCAATTGCGTTGAGAACCTCCACAAGACTATCACAGATAAAAATGACTAACAGACAATACACAACAACAATTCTATACTAAGAATTTACAAAGTCTGAGTCGAAGATTTACCTGTGATCTGTCCGGTCTGACTAGTCCCGCATGTAACACCCCCGGACCGTCCTAGGCACAGACGTTCCGAGAAGCGCCACAAAATGTCGAGATTCGCCGAATAGGCCATCCCAGACTAAGAACAAATCAGAGCCCAGGTCAGCCCGTCCCGCGAACTCGACCCTCTTCCCAAACCAAACAACAAACCATTATTTTACAAAACTATTCTGGTCGCCTATTGCCTGCAGCGTTCCGCTCTAAACTATTCTGGTGGCCTCTAGGGCGTCTCAGGACATGACACACGTCATTCCTATCCCCTCTCAATGCTCATCCAATGAGCCGACTTCCCCCAAGCATGTGGTGTGATCGTCCGATTGGTTATAACTCATCTTATCCATTAAGATGCTGGGTGCTTCAGTCTGATTGATCAGCTCTTGATCCAATCCGTTTCTGCATCTCTCCACTTGGCTCTGATGCGGAGTCAGGTTTTACCAAACTCCTAGACCTCTGCAAGTGCACAGATCGCGGAAGTATGGGTATCGAACACAAGGACTGGCTATTGAGTACACTTTGAAACTATGGATTTTGGATCAAGCTAAAACAAAAGTACCGAACTAGCAAGTATAACGAGGTTGTAAATCAATAAAGGAAAAGCGCTAGGTCATAGGGGCTATCGCAGAGAAGCAAGCAATGATCAATGAAACAATGATAGATGAATTGATTAGGGATATTGGGATATTAAGAACCATCTAGAACACAGATCACGAATATAAAACCATTCCACTTTCGAGGCTCCGGCTCCTTTGTTAATCTACCTAGTCGCTAAACTTTTGGTATGTCCCTAGGTGATTAAATCAAGCATTAGAATGAATAGGTTCTGATACAGTTCACTAGATATAGATAGATCAACTTTCGCAGTCTAAGAAACCTAGCTTGTCAAAGAATATGTCCGGCGAATGATACAACACTGTCGAGGCTCAAATCAACCTAAGATCGGATTACTAGATGCGCGGTAAAGCAATCAGCATTAGTTAAGTGCACAAGACGAGACAAAGACTCTAATATAATCCCTAGCTAATCATTGAAATCAAAGATCATGCAAGCAACTCATTGAATAGTAACCCTAGCAACCTAACTAGTGGATTACTCAGACATGATCAAAGCAAACACACATAGAGATGAAGAAAACATGATTGCAATAAAACTTAGAGTAGGAAATCGAAATACAAGGCGGCTCTCTTTCTCAAGAGGCTAAAAATATATATATAGTGCTAGGTCTTTCTAGAGGCGGCTTAGGGTTAAGCCGGGCTTGAAAATATAAGTTGGGCTTCAAAACGGGCTTCGGGTCGACCGCGGCGTTGGGACGGTCGGTCGGGACGATCGGCCGGACATCGGGTCGTGGCGAGTCGGAACGGTCGTGGCGGATGTTGTGGTCGGCCGGCGTGGTCGGACGGATGAGATTTGGCCGATGATTCTCGGCCGGACGTGGGACGTTTCCCGGCTCGGACGGATGCATCGGCCGTGGTACGCGAACGAGGTTGCGCGGCCGCGAGGCTTGTTCCCGGCTCGCGCGCTGGTCGTGCGCGGCTGGCGTGAGCGTTTGCTTGGCCGACCGCGGGACATGTTTCCCGGGTCGTGATGCGTGATCGGCCGAGGTTTGGACTTTGGCCGAGACTTCAGACGGACGGATAGATTTGGCCGAGCGCGAACATTCGTTCCTCGGCCAGCCGGACTGCGCGGTTGGGCGCTGATTCTCGATAGAGCCGTCTGGACAGTCTTCACTCTTTTGGTTGTAACTCCTTTTCTACTCATCCAAATTAGGCCGTTCCAGTTGCGTTGGAAAGTTAACTCAATCAGAGCACGCAGGGAACTGGTCTTGATGAAATCCATTGAGTAGATCTTTTTCTGGGCCCTCTTAAAGTTGGTGCTTGTGCATGGAGCGGCTTGAAGTGCAAATCCTATGGTTTTGCTCCAAAATGCATCATTTCACCTGTTTAGACTCTAGACACTATAAACACAGTAAAACTACCTTTTTAGATAGAAAACCTGCCAAAAACCATTAGAAAACAATGCTAAAACAGTATAAAAAGTGTAAATAGAGGTATATCAACTCCCCCAGACTTAGATCTTTGCTTGTCCCCAAGCAAAAAGAATCTAAATCCGTGAAAGAGGTTTGAAAACGTGGAAACTCCCTTGCTCTTTTGAATATCCTGTGAAAGGTTCCTTTCCTGTATTCCACTAAGAACATAGACAACATAAGGTTAGCTTCACATACACCCTGCAAGTTTAGCGAACAATACCAACCCAACTAGTCTCATCCAGCAATCCAAACTCTCTATTGCTAACCTCTTGCATAAATTTAAAGCGTGAGTTCTTTATCAAGGGACATCGATCAATTGAACTTGTTCTTACCCACTTGATCTTCTCCAAGATTGTCTTTAAGTGCAATGAGTTCTTTTCCTCTCTCTTTCTCACATCAGAACTTTGAAAGGTCAATTTCTCCCTACTTTTCTAGGGTATCATTTTATTTTTTCTATTGACCCTTCTTTCAACCACAGGATAAGTCTTTAGCTTGTTCCTTGTTTGACTAAGGTATTCCATAAGACATGAAGGTACAGACATATGCATTCCTCATGCTTACTTGTTTTCCTTGTGCTCTTTGAGCTTTTTCTCATACACATTTGGGATGGGAGAGAGAGGAGAACTCTTTAAAGATTAGACAAATCTTATTGAAAATCAAGCAAGGAACTGTCGACATGTATGCCAACCCCTTGACAAGAGTATTAAGATTGATTAAGGGTGAGGTTAACTCTAGATTGCTTGGTTACCTTAGAAATTTTGCTGAGCTAGCATGTCGATCCACTGTAAGAGCTTCTGTTAGGCTTGTGCCTTTAGCTGGTTTCTGCTCTAGGGTCATGGATTGTTAGCACAACACTCTCAATTCTCAAAGCAAGTTCATAACTTCCGGACTGGTTTTTGACTCAATAAAACTTTTTGAAAAACATGAAACAAAGTGAATAAAACATAAGAAAAGAAAGAAAAATGCATTAGTAACACAATAAAACTCCCCCCAGACTTAACTTGCACCGTCCCGGTGAAAGCAAATCACATTAAGGTGAGAGGTAATATTCAAAGTAAAAGAAAAATAAAGAAAATTCATTAAAATGAGATAGGGATAGAAAATGGAGATTTGTAAGTGTCCATTGCACTAAGTACCACTTGAGATGACTATGTGTGGCAGTGAGAAGAACTCTCTTCCTCATCTATGGGGTCATCGCCTTCTGAACCAAGCTCTGAGTCTAGTGAGAACTCACCAAGGTCAGGCTCATATGGCTCTCTAGCGGTGGAAGAAGGGCGAAAGAGTCTCTCCGGTGCAATGTGGCGAACTACACGAACTAGGCGTGAGATGAAGCGAGATTGGCATTCCACGATCTTCTCCAGCTTGTTAACGGTCTAGAGCTTGGTGCGGCCATGCCAGTAGTGAGAACATGGCGTTCTTGGTGGCGGCGTTGAGTCTTGACTGCATGCTGAAGTGTGCGATAGGTGAGCATGGGGAATGATGGTTTCTCACTTGATGGAACATAGAAGTCTTCCTCATTGGGCTGGAAAGTGACAACACCTGAGCGTAGGCTTGGGATGTCTCATGTGGCAGCAAGACAAGGGAAGTGTTGGCTGGACCAATTGGAAACTCATAGCAAAACCGAGTTGGGTCTTTAGTCCAACGGTTTAGGAAGTGGATGTGCTGAAGAGCATGGAGATCCAAAGGGGTTGGCTTGGGTAGTGGCTCATAGTTGGGAATGTCAATCCCCACATGTTGTACTATGGCCGTGATAAGCCTCCCAAAACGAACACAAAGCTTCTTGTTGCCTTCCAAGTCTTGAGCTAGCTTCCTCACATTGATAATGTCTTGGCAAGTAAAAGGCCAAGGTTGGCCTTGTACTCATGCTTGATGAATGGTGTGGTGAGGATGTAGAACTCATCAGTTGTGACCTTGTTGGCTTCTTGTTTGCATTGGAAAGTGGTGGAGATGAGGCGGTGCACATAGCGAATGGCTGGATGAGTGATTCTAGACACCTTTGATCTTGAAGGCAAGAATGGTTCATTGGCAAAGTGTGTCCAATCAGCAAAGGCAGCTTGTTTCCTCTTTGAGTTCTCCTTGAAGTCATGTGCTGTCTCATTGGGAAGTCCAAAGAGTTGGCATAGAGCTGAGATGGATATGCGCCCATTGGCATCGCCTATCTTGAAGAGTAGGAGTCCATCACCAGCTGGTTGGTCTCCATTGTGGTTGGGAAAGGCAAGAGCTACTGTGGAGAGGAACTCCTTGGTGAGTTGTGAGTACTCACTACATTCTAGCTTGAAGAGCTTGCTCAAGCCTAGCTTCCTTATGTACCATGTGACATCATCTCTTATCTTGAGAAGGTCAAGGGTTTGGGTGTCCATCTTCACACAAGGCTCGATGTTCACCTTCTCCATTGCCTTCTTGCACTTTCTTGGGTCTTGGATTTGTTCTCCAACAAAGGTTACAAGTGCCCAATCATCTTCTCCTCTTCTTGGACTCTCCACATGTTCTTGACTTGCATCAATGGAATGTGGTGAAGTTGGTATTGCTGCTCTTGCATTGGAGCTACTACTCCCTAGCTTGATTTGTTTCTTTGGTGGTTCCATGAATGGGTTCTTCTTCTTCTTCATACTCTCATTTCCTTTTGTCTTTGCCATGGTGTACCTTGGCCGAAAAGTTTTGGGCCGATGGCCGATGGATTTGTCGCGGTCGAGCGATTTGGTCGGCCAAATTCGTTTTGGCCGAGAGATTTCGGCCGAGGCCGATCGTGTTTCCCGGATCGACCGGCACGGTCGGTCCGTTCCGATACAAAATTCGGCCGATCGCGGCCGTTTCTTCCCGGTTCGTGCGTGGCGCGAACGTTTTCTGTCGCGCAAGTAGATCCGGCCGAGCACGCCATTCCTTCCCGGCTCGACCGTGACGGTCGGCCCGGTTGGAATTGCTCGGCCAAAATTTTTTGCGCGTCCGCGGCCAATGGTTTGGCGCGGATTGTGTTTTCACACCTTTTTCTCCTTCTATCCTATCTTAAAACAAAGAAAACACAAAAGCAAAACAAAAACTAAGAAAAAAGAAAGAAAAGTAAAAGTACCTCATGGGTTGCCTCCCATGCAGCGCTTGTTTTAAGTCTTTAGCTTGACTGTAAGGCTTGGCGCTCAGGAGAAGATGAGACAAGAGGCATCTTGATCCTCCAAGTCTTTTCTCCTTGCAATGAGTATCTGGTGGGTGATTCACAGCTGGATAGACAATCTCTCCATGAATGTCCCTTGGCACTACTGCCTTAGGAAAAAGCTTTAGAGTTCTTGTCACTTTCTCCTTGAATCCTTCTAGATTCTCATCAATAAGCTCCTCTGGGAATAGAAGCTTCATGTTGCGGCCAGACCTAGGTTTTCTAACCTTCTTCTTGGCTTGGCCTCATCTTCAATCTTGGTTGATCCCTTGGGCGGTTTTGGTGTAGGGGCCTTAGTCTTACTCCTTGCTTGTTTGGCAAGCTGCTTGGGCTTAGGAATGGGATCTTCCTTGATTGTTTCTTCAGTTTCTCCTTCTTGGGGTGGCTTCAAAGTAGCTTTCTCCTCTTGGACCATGTCAACAAAAGAGTTCTTTGTTGAACACATAGGGAAGAACATACCCTTGTTCACCTTGTTGAAAGAGATTCTTTGATTGGGGAAATCAAATATGGCACCCACAGTAGACAGGAAAGGGGTTCCAAATATGAGAGGTCTATGGCTACTCTCTCTCATTTCCACAATCTGGAAATCAGTAGGGATAGAGCAATTTCCAATCTGCACCATCACATTAGGCACAAAGCCATAGGGGTTTGTGAGAATGAATCAGCATAGTTGATGGAGATGGATGATGGCTCTATCTTGGTGAGGCCTATCTTGTCAGCTATCCTCTTAGACATGATGTTCACATTGGCTCCTGTGTCACACAAAGATTGCTCAAGAATGTTACCTTTGATGATACAAGGCACAACAAACTTTCCTGAGTTATCTGTCTTGGGGATAATCTTTGGGAAGAGTCTTCTCTTTCTAGCTCGATTGGACTCTCTCTCTGGGTAATTCTCTTCAGGCCAAATCATGCAATCAACAGTAGGTTTTGAAAGCATCCATTCTGGAACTTGGTCTTGATACAAGGCACAACAAACTTTCCTGAGTTATCTGTCTTGGGGATAATCTTTGGGAAGAGTCTTCTCTTTCTAGCTCGATTGGACTCTCTCTCTGGGTAATTCTCTTCAGGCCAAATCATGCAATCAACAGTAGGTTTTGAAAGCATCCATTCTGGAACTTGGTCTTCAAATTTTCTTCTATGGCGGCTGAGTTGCAAAAGGACTTCTTGGATTCAGCTTCCTGTCTCTTAACAGCTTCCATAGTTTGGTGACTTGAGTCTCTAGTTTCTTCACATGAGTGGCAACAGCATCATACTTGGTGTTGAGATTGCTGAACAAAGTGTCCATCTTCTCATACATCTCTTTAGTGTTTCTCTTCTGGCCATCCATGATCTGTTGGAGGATTCCTTCAAATCTCCCACCTTGTTGGTTTGGAGGAGCTTGATTTGGTGAAGAAGCATATGGCTCCTTGGGCGGATATGATGATCTCTGCTCATATCCTTGCCTTGGCTGAAATTGACTTCCTTGAGATTGGTAAGGAGGTCTTTGTTGTTGTGGATACCTTGGAGGATACACTTGGTCTTGAGGATTCTCCACATTGGGGTTTCTATAAGACATGTTGGGGTTTGGGCGATAGCTTGGATTGTATCCCTTGTTCCCATAGTTTCCAATGTAGTTCACATCTTCTTCATTGGCTTCATTAGAGAAATCTCCCATGCATTCTCTTGATGAATCTTCATTAGCATCACTCATCCCTTCTATTGCATTGATATGCTTGAGCTGTCCCTTAAGAACTTGAGCCATCATGTTCTTGAGTTCAGTCATTTGAAAAGAATCAGGGGAGCTAGTAGTGGTGCGGCTTGAGCGGTCATAATCAGGACAGTTGTTACAATCACTAGCTGCAAGATTCTCAATAAGAACCTTAGCTTCATCAACAGTCTTGGTCATGAAGTTTCCATTGCTTGCAGTATCCAATGAAAGCTTGTACTTGTGGTCTAATGCCACGATAGAAGATGTTCCATAGGTTTCCCTCATTGAAACCATGATTAGGGCAGTCCCTAATGTACTCCTTGAATCGATCTAGCGCCTCATAGAAAGATTCATTGTTGCTTGGCGAAAGTGGAGATCTTGTTCCTCACAGAAATTGATCTTTGCTTGGTGTAGAAGTGGTTGATGAATGCAGCCTTGTACTCATCCCAAGTGGTAATGGAGTGAGCTGGCAGAGACTTCAACCATCTTGAAGCTTTGTCGCCAAGAGAGAATGAAAAGAGCTTGCACTTAAGTAGTCAGCAGAGACTCCATTGGATCTTGTAGTGCTGCAAATTTCTTCAAAGTTTTCTATGTGATCAAGAGGATGCTCAGCTGGAAGGCCATTGAATTGGTTCTGTCTAACCAATGCAATGATCTGAGGCTTGATCTCATAGTCATTCCTTGCAGGAAGTGGTGGATGGATAGGGTTTCTATCCATGAAGAAAGCATCGGCAGAGTCATAGTCTCCGATTGTAGGTGCTCCAGCTTGAGGTTGTGCATTCACATCTCCAGCAGGATTAGGAGGAGGAGGAGGTGGATCTCTTCCTTCTTCTTGAGCGCGCGCCACTTCAGCGGCGTGAGCGCGAGCTGCTTCGTCGGCCATCTCTTGGGCTTTTTGCTTCCTAAGTTGCTTCTCAAGCTTGTCTATCTCTGGATGTTCAACTAGGTTGTCCTTGTTGGACCTCCTAGTCATGCACCTGAAAAGAGTCTTGGAAACAAGTTAAACAAAAGTAAAAACAAAAAAAGAAATCAAAAACTAAAAATTCAAAAGCAAAAGCAAAACAGGAAAAGGTTCTAGACTAGATCCTAGTCGAGTTCCAAAGGTACTGCTGCAGTCCCCGGCAACGGCGCCAAAAACTTGATGCGGAGTCAGGTTTTACCAAACTCCTAGACCTCTGCAAGTGCACAGATCGCGGAAGTATGGGTATCGAACACAAGGACTGGCTATTGAGTACACTTTGAAACTATGGATTTTGGATCAAGCTAAAACAAAAGTATGATTGAGGTTGTAATGGTGAACCGAACTAGCAAGTATAACGAGGTTGTAAATCAATAAAGGAAAAGCGCTAGGTCATAGGGGCTATCGCAGAGAAGCAAGCAATGATCAATGAAACAATGATAGATGAATTGATTAGGGATATTGGGATATTAAGAACCATCTAGAACACAGATCACGAATATAAAACCATTCCACTTTCGAGGCTCCGGCTCCTTTGTTAATCTACCTAGTCGCTAAACTTTTGGTATGTCCCTAGGTGATTAAATCAAGCTTTAGAATGAATAGGTTCTGATACAGTTCACTAGATATAGTAGATCAACTTTCGCAGTCTAAGAAACCTAGCTTGTCAAAGAATATGTCCGGCGAATGATACAGCACTGTCGAGGCTCAAATCAACCTAAGATCGGATTACTAGATGCGCGGTAAAGCAATCAGCATTAGTTAAGTGCACAAGACGAGACAAAGACTCTAATATAATCCCTAGCTAATCATTGAAATCAAAGATCATGCAAGCAACTCATTGAATAGTAACCCTAGCAACCTAACTAGTGGATTACTCAGACATGATCAAAGCAAACACACATAGAGATGAAGAAAACATGATTGCAATAAAACTTAGAGTAGGAAATCGAAATACAAGGGCGGCTCTCTTTCACAAGAGGCTAAAAAGCTATATATATAGTGCTAGGTCTTTCTAGAGGCGGCTTAGGGTTAAGCCGGGCTTGAAAACATAATTGGGCTTCAAAACGGGCTTCGGGTCGACCGCGGCGTTGGGACGGTCGTCGGGACGATCGGCCGGACATCGGGTCATGGACGATCGGAACGGTCGGGGACGGATGTTTCACGGTCGGCCGGCGTGGTCGGAGCGGATGAGTTTGGCCGATGAATTCTCGGCCGGACGTGGGACGTCTTTCCCGGTCGGACGGATGCATCGGCCGTGGTACGCGAACGGTTGCGCGGCCGCGAGGCTTGTTTCCCGGCTCGCGCGCTTGGTCGTGCGCGGCTTGGCGTGAGCGTTTGTGGCCGACCGCGGGACAATGTTTCCCGGGTCGTGATGCGTGATCGGCCGGACGGTTTGGAACTTTGGCCGAGACTTCAGACGGACGGATATGATTTGGCCGAGCGCGGAACAATCGTTCCTCGGCCAGCCGGACTGCGCGGTTGGGCGCTGATTCTCGATAGAGCCGTCTGGACAGTCTTCACTCTTTTGGTTGTAACTCCTTTTCTACTCATCCAAATTAGGCCATTCCAGTTGCGTTGGAAAGTTAACTCAATCAGAGCACGCAGGGAACTGGTCTTGATGAAATCCATTGAGTAGATCTTTTTCTGGGCCCTCTTAAAGTTGGTGCTTGTGCATGGAGCTGCTTGAAGTGCAAATCCTATGGTTTTGCTCCAAAATGCATCATTTCACCTGTTTAGACTCTAGACACTATAAACACAGTAAAACTACCTTTTTAGATAGAAAACCTGCCAAAAACCATTAGAAAACAATACTAAAACAGTATAAAAAGTGGGTAAATTAGAGGTATATCAGGCTCCTATACACTTGCTTCTCATCCACTCCTGAAGCTTATACTCTCTCTCGGTAGGTGGTGTTGATGCATGATTCGTCCAAGTTAGTTTCGTCTCCATTGAGAACCTCAATGTCTCTGTCTGATTGGTTAGGACAATTCTTGTCTTTCATGAGCAGCTGGGTGTCTCTCCCTGACAGGATTAGGTCTTTTTGGAGCTCATCCACGTCTCTATCCTCCTTAGCAGCTGGTGTCACCGCCCAATTGGTTTAAACTTGCTTCGTCCTCATTCAGTAGCTGGATGTTTCTGCATGATTGGCATGTACGGTTTTGGCTTCATTGGAATAGTTGAGTGTCTCCTCCTTATTGGTTTAGGCCATCTTTATCTTTCTCAAGTAGTTGGTATCGCCACTTGAATGGCTTAGTGCAAGATCGCTCCAAATGTAGGTTTCCTCGTCTGGAGGGTTTCATATGTTTCCTTGTCTGGAGGGTTTCGTCCCCGTTGTGCTTGAGAATTAAAATCTCATATTTTAATCCTTCTCTCATTTTCATGTTTCTGAGCTTTCACATAGCTCCTTGAAAATGTGCGGAATACCTCCATCCGGAACATTTACGTTTCTTGTAGTTGTCGTGGGATAGATCTTGGCCGTCCGTCCCATCTCTCAATCTACTTGTCCCATTTGCATTCTGCTTCGACCAAACTTCTTAAAATAGACTCTTATGTCGTCAAGAGTCATTTCTTCTTGATTTGGAGGACTTTGATATTTCGTCGTCCTGTCGACTCTCTTCCTATGTTCGCACAATGATCGTCCCACCTGGACAATTTTCTGTATCTTCACTTCTTCTCAATTGTTCTTGATCCTATCTCGACGCAAGTATTTGTTTTGACCTCTAGAGTGAAATAGTGAATCCCACTCCTTTGTCTTCCAATCCTAGAGACTTGATCTTCCCATCCCAGCCTTTGGGATGTTTTAGGTCTTGATACGGAGTATCACACCACCAGTCTCCATCGAAGAATAGCCCCGCGGCACCGATGCAATCTGAGCCACTGGTTGCACCCCTGCAATCTGACTCACTGGCTAAGCCGCTTGATATACCTTTATTTTACATACTTTTTATATGGTTTTACTATGCTTTTCATAAGTTTTTTAATGGATTTCTGATCGAAAAAGGTAGGTTTTGATGGATTTATAGTAATTAGAGTCTAAACAGGTTGAATGATGCATTTTGGAGCAAAATACAGGATTTGTACTTCAAGATCACTCCAAGACGTAGCATCAACTTTATAAGGGCTTTAAAAACATTCTACTCAATGGAATTAATCAAATCCAGTTCGACGCGATGCATATATGAGTTAGCTTTGCAACGAAACTGGAATCACTCAGTTTGGCTAAGTACATTGGAAGATATCTTTATTTCCCTGAGACATATATCAAGGAGCTTTATCGGACTGCATCAGTACATCAGACGAGCAGCAACGGCTTGGACCTTTAAACTCAAAGGATTTCAATGACCTCGACACCAAGATATCCAGATGAGTTAGTGTTCCAATGTCGTTGGAAGTATGCAATTTGGATGAGCCGTTTAGGAGATATCACGTTTTTACTGAAGACTGGTCCACAGCCGGCCGAACGCACTCGGCCGGACAGAAAAGGAATTGGCTTCGCTCGGCCTTTACCAGGACACACCCGGACAACTGCGCTGTCCAAACCGGGAGGCAATGGACCATGGTTGACCCAGAAAATCACATCACGGCCGACCACATCGCTTACACGGTCGACCCGAGCTCCGCGAACAAGAAGCCCACTTATGCAGTTTCGACTATTCTCGGCCCGTTTCACCTCAACCGACTTGTGGAAGACCTAGGGCACTATAAATACTCTTTTTTAGCCTCAATAGAATAGAGAGCCGCATGGGAGAAGAGTCACAAGAGAAGACGCACTAGGGAGTTCCCCTTAGAGGGATCCTCCATTGTTTTACTTCTTTCTCATTGTTTTCTTAAGGGAGAAGATCCCTTCTTTGTATCTCGACATAGAGAAGCTTTCTAAACCCTTTTCTCCTTATAATACTATGATTTCTTTCTCTGATTTGTGCTTGTTTACTTGCATCATGATTGAGTAGATTTCTAGTTAGGTTGGGGGTTTCAAAGAGTTCATGAATCATTAGGTTGCTAAATTCGAATTAGGGTTTATCATATAGATCTTCACCTTTGCTTAATCTCATTGCTGCATGCTTTTCTGATCAACTAGCATCAGATCTTAAGGTTTCATATACATTCCAAAAGCTTGCTATATAACCGGAACTAGTATTTGGTGAGCAACACTTCATAGACTGCGAAAGTTGATCTATGCGGGTTGTGAACAATTGAGACTTGAACGAATTAATGCTTGCTTAACTACCTAAGGAAATACCAAAAGTTTAGCGATTAGGTTAGTTAACAAAGAGATCGGAGCCACGACAGTGGAATGATCTTACATCCGTGTTTTGAGTTCTAGATGGCGCATTCAAACCCACTAATGAATTTAATTGCATAACTTGATATTCTTGAATCTCTGCGAGCTTGCTCATTCCCTAGCGACTTTCCCACATTGAACTTACATCATTTTTACTTTGCTTTCTTTTAGTTTAGTTATTTTGCATACCAAAACCCCAATATATTATTTTGTCCTATCTAAGTTAAACTTGCATAACTTGTAGTGCACTTATCTGCTTCTTGTGTACGATAACCCGTTACTACACCTGACATGTGCACTTGCAGAATCAGTGATAGGAATAGGTAAAACCTGATCCCGCATCACATCTATTGTCTGAACCGATGCCACCAACATACTCCTCAACTTAAGGCACATGAGCTTGATATGCCCCGGCTCCTTGTAGTAGTAGCACACTCTCGGTGCTGCATCCCTCTTGGGACTACTCAAAACACAATGCTTCGGGCTCCCACACCCATAACACGAATGATGTGAGTCAGGTTTTACCAAACTCTTTAGACTTCTGCAAGTGCACAGATCGTAGAAGTATGGTATCGAACACAAGGACTGGCTATTGAGTGCACTTTGAAAGTATGGATTTCGGATCAAGCTAAAACGACAATATATATTGCGAGGTTGTAATTGTAACTAAAACAAAAGAAATTAAACGAGTGTGTGAATTCAATGGGAAGAAAGCGCTAGGTCAACAGGGGCTAATCGCAGAGAAGCAAGCAATGATCACTGACTCAATGATAGATGATATGATTTAGGGATATTGGGATGATAAAACCGTCTAGAACACGGATCACGAATGCAAAACATTTTCACTGTCGTGGCTCCGGCTCCTATGATAACCTATCTATTCGCTAAACTTTTGGTATGTCCTTAGATGGTTATTCAAGCATTAGATATTAGATCGAGCGGGTTCCGATTAAGTTCACTAGGTTAAGTAAATCAACTGTCGCAGTCTAAAAAACCTAGCTTGTCAAAGAATATGTCCGGTGAATGATACATCACTGTCTTGGCTCAAATCAACCTAAGAACATATTACTAGATGCACGGTAAAGCAATCAGCATTAATTAAGTGAACAAAACGAGACACAAGACTCTAAAGTAATCCCTACCTAATCATCAAAATTATAGATCATGCAAGAAAATCATTGATTAGTAACCCTAGCAACCTAACTAGTGGATTACTCAGACATGATCAAAGCAATAACACAAAGAGATAAAATAAAGGTTTATAAAATGTCTCCAAATTGAAGTGAGGAGGGGAGATCTTCTCCTTGAAATCTGTAGAACAAAAATATAAGTGTAAAACGTGATACAATATGCGGCTCTCTTTCTCAAGAGATTAAAAAGTTGTATTTATAGTGCTAGGTCTTCGGAGGCGGCATTAGGTTTAGTCGGACCGTGAAAACGTGTGAAACGGGATTCAAAACGGGCTTCGGTTGACCGGACCATTTAGACGGTCGGCCATCTATCGGGTTATGATCGGCCTTCGGTACGGTCGGAGTGATCGTGGCCGAGAAATTTTACGTTCGGACGTCGGGGTCAGCCGGGCGAATAAGTTTGGTTGAATGTTCGGGCCGGACGTTGGCTCTTGATTGCGGGATCAGGTCTTCCATTTCCTATCCCTGATTCCGCAAGTGCACAGGTCAGAAGTAGTAAACGGGTATCAAACACAAGGACCAAATTGCACACTACAAACTATGAGTTTAAGATCGAGCTAGGGCAAAACAATAAAAGTTGGTTGATTGTAACGAAGTAAACAGTAAAGAGCATGCAATTAAATTGAATAAGGTTTAAATTAGAGGGAGAAGGCAGCTAAGCAATGGGATAATCTCTAAATAAGTAATTCAAGAAGCAAGATTCGATTGATTAGGGTTATTGATTATTGGTACTGTCAATAACTCAAAACACTAAGGTATGATCTTTTCACTATCGTGGCTGCGACCCCTTTGTTAATCAAGAGAATGATTCAACACGTTTGTGGCTCAAGTCTACCTATGATCATATGCTAATTGGCCAGATTAACAAAAAGGTTTGCACACAAGTAAAGGTGACGAGTATATGTGAAACCCTAATTCATTATAAATCGATTATCAAGCAAACATAAATACTATCCTTTGATTTCATATCACTTAACAATTAAACTACTCAGACATAGTGAAGGAGATCAAATTCATATTCATAAGGACAGAGATCCAAAATTCTCTCTGGTAAGAAAACAAGCAAAAGCAAAGTAAAAGTAAATTGTGGTCTCTCTCCTTTTTGAGTTAGAAGGCTGAAAAGATGTATTTATAATGCTCTAAGTATTGAAGAGCGGCTAGACCTAGGTCTATAAAGTCGGCAAGGTAATTGTGCTTTAAATCGTATAAAACGGACTTCAAAATCGGCTTCGGGTCGACCGGACTGTTCGGATGGTCAGTCGGGACATTCGGCCGGCTAGCGGGTTGTGATCGGCCATCGGTACGATCGGATTAATCGTGGCCGATGTCGTCAGGTTCGGCCGGGCGGATAGATTTGGTTGAACGTTCAGGTCGGACGCTGGACGATGGTCCTCTAGTCGGACGGTGCGATCAACTTTCTGTTCGCGCGGCGCGGTCGTGCGCGGCACATAATCGTTGGACGGATGCTTCCCGGGTCGGTATGAGTGCTCGGCCATGCGCTATGCGGGATGGATGTGATGTGTTGCGCGGGTCGATCGTGGGGAGGTAGTTCCTTGGTCGGCCGTTGTGCGCGGTCTTGAGCGCGACATAGTGTTGTTGCATTGTTTCAGCCGTCTGGACTAGTATTCACTAAATCGATGATAACTCGAATTCTACTCATCCAAATGATGCGAATCCACTTGTGTTGGAGAGTTAACTCACTCAGGGCACGCATGGAAGTTGTTAGAGGTGAAATTAGCATATTTCCTTGAGCCCGTCACCATTAGTAAAATCATAGAGGCCCAACCCGACTTTAGTTCTAACCTCCTCAACAAAATGGCAAGACTTGAGGAGAAAAGCACAATCTATGGGAAAATGTAAACAACGGCTCGCGCTGACTCGAACAATAGAAGGAAATCAAGAGCAAGAGGAAGTTTTCCAAATCATTAAAGAAGAAGTTTGCCATATCGCCAAAAAGGAAGATATTCATCAAGAAGCCGACCTACCATCACTATATAATGAAGACCCCCCATTCCTTGAAAAGGATCTGAAATTAGCAGCAAGAATCCTTGGCAATACTAATCTTTTCAGTTATCTCTTGTTCTTTATTCATCGTCTCGTCAAGCTTATTTGACGAAACCAATTTTCTTTGTACTCTTTTCGATTACATTCGAGTTAATAAGCATCCCAGTTCTCTACAGCTCAATCTTGGATACTCGTTTCTATACGTGCTATTCTTGATCTCACAATTGGCGCCTACCGTGGGGCTGAGAACGCTTCTCGCTTTTGAGCTCGAAGAAGTCTTAATTTCTACGAAACAGCATTGATGGTAAACTCAAGAGATAACACCCCCAGTCCATCTTGTGAAGGAAGGAACTCTGGTGACGAGCATGAACCAGCAACGGTGGACAAATTGTTATGCACCGAGGACAGAGACCGATCTGTCATACTGAAAAGTCGATCCGCCTTGCTAAAAGGCCGATCTACTCGCCGAGGAAGAGCAAGAGCCTGCCGCCTCCTCCCGCAAGAAGCCGTCGTACGAAGAAAACCTCTTCGACCGACAAGTTCCTTGAAGCCGTAAGGATGGTCCTCATACCACTAACCGAGAGCTTCGAGTTGATGCAAGCTCAGCAGAAGAAGACCCATGAGCAAGTCGATACCCTGATCCGAGAAGACGACGAAGAACCGTTAGATCCCACTGCCGCGACGTCTAACGGAACCACAAACCGTCCAGCAGGAGTTGGCGAACGAGCAGCCCTGGAGCTCGACAAATCAACCGTCGTCTTGACGAGTTTGACTCCAAAGTGCATCGCACCACTAGCTCGGCTCTGGAGTTGACAAAAGCACTTGCTGACACCTGGAAGAGTCTGCTCACTCGCAGGATCCGCCAGATCCACCTGCACGACAGAATTCGACTCAAGATCGATTCATACACCGGCAAAGAAGATCCCAAAAAGTGGTTGACAGCATTCAACCTCGCCATGACAAGAGAGAAGTACAACTCTCTTGACGAGAAGGAGGCCAACTACTTCCAAGTGTTCATAGAGCACATGACGAAGGAAGCCGTAGTTTGGTTCTCCAACCTGTCTGCCGAGTCGATCGACAACTTCGACGACTTGACCAACGCTTTCTTAAAGCATTATTCCATGCATATGACCCGAGTCACTCAGAACATGTTTACCATGACGCAAACTCAAGGGGAATCTCTGCGTCTGTTCATGGAAAAGTTCAAGCAAACACTAAGACCCCCCCCTCCCCTCCACAACCTTGGAGGACGCGTCCCATCGGTCCTAGAGATACATCTTCCTCAAGGAGGATAAACGCTTCTATGCCGAGAAGCAAGGTGGTAGGAAGACACTCTCGTCAAGACCTAAGGAGGACGCAATGGAGACCCGAAGGAGACCCGACACCAAGAAATACCTACTCACCGCGTTCGCAGTAGCTAACGATGCCGAGCGAGGATTGCAGCTTGCCGTGATGGTCTCGACATCTCCGAACGCTGCCCTTCCCGATGAAGACGATGACCCCGACGCATTCTGTCGTCTCCATGGAAACTGCGGCAACTCCACGAAGAACTGTAAGTAACTCGTTCGTAATCTCATGTGGATGTACCAATAAGTAGAACTCCCCCCGGTGAAAGGAGACCGCTCCCGACGCAAAGGGAGCTCATCATGATCCCCGAAGCCGACGCCAAAAGACGCACCCGTTGACGCCCCAGACCATCTTGACGATCTGCCAAAGCAACAAGTCAGCATGATAATGGGCAGCCTCCCAGAAGACAGCTTTGTCTTGACAATCGAAAAACACGGAATGCAACGATCGCGATACCTGGTTGCTGCTCGACCCGCGAAGAAACTCCTATGATTTCCTTCGCGGATCAGGATGCGGCGGGGCTGGATACCTCTCACCGCGATCCACTCGTGGTCAGCTTACAGATTCACGATTCCGACGTATCAAGAATCTTGGTCGATACAGGGAGCTCGGTGAATTTAATCTTCAAAGAAACCCTAGACCGCTTGGGAATCGACGAAGAGTACATCAAGCAGGCACCCGCTCACCGAATTCACTGCCGAACACATCTTCAGTCAAGGCACGATTCGCCTACCCATACATGTTGGAGGAACAACCAGAATAGCTAAATTCTTCGTTATCAACAGACCGGCAATCTACAATGTCATCCTAGGCACACCATGGTTTCACGAGATGAAAGTTCTCATCTCGACCTTTCACCAATGTGTCATATTCCCGACGTGATCAGGAATTTATATTTTGAGAGGAAGCCAATAGATGACAAGATCATGTTCTTCTAAGCTATCCACAACATAATGTTCACTAGTACTAGCATATTTCACTATATCCTCATTTTCTTCATGTGAATACCAAATCTTATAACCACGCATAAATCCTCTACTATATAAGTGCTTCCAAACTCTATCTGTCACAATAAATCTATGATTCCCGCAACTAGAATAAGGACGGAAGATCTTACCAGAATCGATGGTTATCTCTTGTTTTGATGCAAAGTTCATGAATTCTTTGAAACCGGTAGAATACTCCTCCGTTTCTAGTCCCGTAGCTGGATTTTGATGAGGTTTATCTATCCAAGAACGAAAATAGTTACACGAATTGGATGAAGAAATTTTGTGAGTTTTTTTGTATATATATATATATATATAGCATTCATGTGGTGATGAAAACTGGTGTCAAGGAACTAGCATTTCGGAAGTGCATTTTCCGACAGGATTTTGATGGCATATAACCGTTTAAAATTACAATGTTCACAACAACGGCTGTTTACTAACGGCTACAATTGTCCGACGGTTTTCGGACCGAATATAGACAGATTTTAAATAACAACAACTATAATTTTCCAACGGAATTCCCAGGGCTTTCGAATATCAACGGCTATAACAACAGCTCTTTAGCAACGGATATATTTTCCCGGCGAATATCAAACCCGTCGTTACTTCGTCGAAAATATTTATCTATTTACGACGGATTTCAGTCCGGACGATATACCGTCAGAAATGTCGCTGTCATTCTGACGGATTAGAATCTGTTAAAAAATTCCGATGGATTCCCCACTATTTCGTTGAAAAATCGTCAGAAATCCATCAGAAAATTACAGACCGTCGATAAGTCCGTTATAATATTGCTTATTTTCTTGTAGTGGGTGTATTTTCCTTTTTGTTAGTTAATTAGGGAGTCCTCTGTTTTATCTACCCATTTTTCCTTAGAGGTTAGAACAGTAATGATCACCGTTGAATCTCAAATATGATGGATTAATTAGTTGCTGCAAGGCCTTGTGAAAAAAAAATACAAAAAACTGGAACATGTGTTCTAATATAAAACATAGTTTCTCGAACATGTGTTCTAATATAAAACATAGTTTCGTAAGTAAACCTGAGCGACATCTTTTACCAAATTTGAATAATAATTATTTTGTGTTCTAATATAAAACATAGTTTGATTCCAGTTTGATTTTGATCATGAAGAGGACATTGCGGAGGTCTTTAAGCTTGAGCCGTTCCATTTTGATTATTGGATGGTATCATTAGTGAGGTGGGAACCGATTGTGGATCCTGCTTACCCGTCTGATAAAGTTTTGGGTGCGTATGATGGGGATTCCACTCCATTTCTGGGCGGAACCTACATTCCGGTGTATCGGGGAAGCCATTGGTGAGGTGGAGGACGTGGATATTGATGGAGGAAGGGTTCGGGTGTGCTTAGATGGGTACAAGCCACTCATCTTTGAGACATCGGTGGAGTTCCACAGTGGAGAGGAGACAGTGGTGACTCTGCGTTATGAACGACTCTTTGGCTATTGCCGGGAGTGCTTCAGCCTGTGTCACGATGTGGTGCAATGTCCGGCTCTCCGCAGGGCCAGAGAAGAGAGGGAAAATCAGAAGAGGCGGGAAGAAAAGCCCGATGGAGGCCCTATGAGTTACAAGGGAGTGGTCATTAATGGACCGAGGGAGGAGAATGGGAATGGGAGGCAGTCACACACCCATGTTGGTAGTGGTGGTGATTTGAAGGGGAAGGGGAAAGTGGTGGAAAACAGAGACGAGAGAGCTAAAAGACAGGCTGTGTTTCGGGGCAATGGGAAGCATGGCGGAGAAAGTTCAGGAGGCCAGAGGAAACCAGTGGGACATGTACCACCAGAGCAGAGGAAGCGGATCAACAGACCCACAGCTCCGGCTAGAAGCATGATGGCTCCATTGTTGATTTCCACAGCGCCGGGAACAGAGATCCAAGTCCAAACCAACATTCGCCAAAAAGGTGCGTAAAGCCATTGATTTCACGACAGCGGTTGCGGGTCTTGATGAGAATGGAAATCAGCAAGAGGAAACGGGGGTTGAGCAAGTGGCGGAAAATGATGTTCGTGACCACTTTGGGGAACCAAGAGGAGGCGGTTCAAGAGGAGGGCGAGGAAGGAGAACTCTGGTGGAATGAAGTGATTGAGGAGGAGGAAGCGGAGAAGTTAGAAGAGGAGATGGCGGATCAGGTGGAACAGCGAGAAATCACTGATATGCAAGTTGACGGGAGTGAAAAACTGGAGACTCTAGTCGGTGTGGAGCAATTTGTGGAGTTGGAAGCAAAGGAGGTGGGGAAGGGTAAACAAGGGATGGAGAGGAAAACAGGGGCAAAGAAGAAAGTGTTTCGGACTGCAGTCGGTGTTGGAGGAGGTCCACTCCGGCGTGTTGTTCATGGTGCTAAAACACCGAAACGCAAGACGACTGCAAAGGGGACAAAGGAGACAAGGTGATCGGGAAGGATAAGGAGACGGAGGGAGATCCATCGGAGGGGTCTGAGACCAAACAAACTTGTTTAATGCGTGTACTCAGTTGGAACTGCCAAGGCCTCGGGAACAGGTTTACAATAAGCTACCTTCGGGAAATATGGTGGAAATTCAGACCAGAGTTTCTATTTCTTTCTGAAACAAAGCAAGACTCTATTTTTTTGCAACAATTTCAATTTCATTTTGGTTTTGATAATTTGTATACGGTTGACCCATGTGGCACAAGTGGTGGTCTAGCCTTATTTTATAATAATAATTTTAATGTTTCAATTGTTTCTTCTTCAAAGAATTTAATTGACACACAAGTAACCATTGAAGGAAAAACTATGTTTATGTCATTTGTTTATGGAAATCCGGTTCCAAAATTAAGGGATTATTTATGGGAAAAACTTACAAGAATAGGAATTACAAGAGATGAGCCTTGGTTTTTAATTGGTGACTTTAATGAAATTACGGGAAATCATGAAAAACAAGGAGGAGCAATTCGGTATGCTTCGACCTTTATGTCTTTTAATCTTATGATAGATGATTGCGGTTTGGTAGATTTTCCGAATCATGGCAATACTTTATCGTGGCGAGGGAGGCGATGGGGAAAAATTGTACGGTGTCGATTGGATAGGGCTTTAGCTACAGAAGATTGGCATGATTTTTTCCGAAGTCACATGTAGAGTATTTAAAAATGGTGGGATCGGATCATCGACCCATCTTGGCAACTATAGATAATAAACGCTCAAAAGGTCGTCGACAATTTAGGTTTGATAAACGATGGATCGGTCAAGATGGGTTTTCTGCAGCCATTGAACGAGGATGGACGGATCACAAGAAGGAGGGGGAGTCCAAATTAGTAGATTTAATTAGCGGATGTCGTCATGAAATCTCGAAGTGGCGACATGTTACGAAACCATATGGAAAAGAGAAGATTGCAGAGTTACAGAGAGCCTTAGAGGAAATTCAGAATGATGATAGTCGGACGCAGGAGGATCTCATCGAAATTACTCAAAAATTAAAGGACGCGTATAGGGATGAAGAACAATTTTGGAAGCAAAAAAGTCGAAACCTCTGGCTCAAAGATGGGATTTAAATACTAAATTTTACCATGCAACGACGAAACAACGTCGGGCCATAAATCGATTGGTGGGCTTACATAACAAAACAGATGTCTGGGTTACGGGAGACAAAGAGATGGAAAAGGTGGCGGTTGATTATTTTTCAGAGCTATTTACAACTACAGCACCGGATGACTTCACAGAGATACTAGAGGGGATTCAGGTTTAATTTCGGATACGGATAACGCCCTGTTAACAAAGCCAGCAACCGAAGAGGAAGTACGGGCCGCATTGTTTTTGATGCATCCCGAAAAAGCACCGGGGCCGGATGGGATGACAGCTTTGTTTTTCCAACGGTCATGGCCTTTAGTAAAGACGGATGTCTTGGGGTTTATAAATGATTTTTTAGTTTCGGGAATCTTTGATGATAGGTTAAATATGACAAATATATGCCTAATTCCAAAGACAGAGCGACCAACTCGCATGACAGAGCTTCGGCCAATCAGTTTATGTAATGTGGGGTATAAGATCATTTCAAAGGTATTATGTGAGAGGTTGAAGAAGGTGCTATCACAATTGATTTCTGAAACCCAATCGGCTTTCGTCCCGGGAAGACTTATTTCCGATAACATTTTGATAGCACAAGAAATGTTTCATGGGTTACGTACCAATAAGTCCTGCAAAGGAAAATTTATGGCAGTTAACTGGACAAGCCGGACTCACTTTTTGCGAAAGTTTTTAAGGGGAGATACTATCGGAATTCTACTCCCCTAGATCCAATACGATCTTACTCCCCGTCCTATGGATGGCAGAGTATCATCTCAGCTCGATCTCTGGTAAATAAAGGGCTCATTAAAAGGGTTGGCTGCGGATCTTCCATCTCTGTATGGTATGATCCATGGATTACCGACGCTCGCCGAGGTCAGCTATTTGTGCAGGAATTAATTACTATCCCCACTTGATGGTGAACCAGTTAATTAATTCCCAGTCATCAACGTGGAATATTCCACTATTAAAGCAATTGTTCGAAAGTGCAGAAGTTACTCGGATTACGGGCATTACAATTGCAACCGGGTACAAACCAGACACTTGTGGATGGATGTTTACAAAAACGGGACGATACACGGTTAAATCGGGGTATAGCGTTTTACAGGATTTCCCAGATGAGGAGGTGCCTCTGGTCTTTGGACCAGATGTCAGGCGGCTGCAAGCACATGCATGGAAAGTAAAATGTACTACCAAACTTCAACACTTTCTTTGGCAGATTATCACGGGATGTCTTTCGGTTGGCGCCCGTTTAAGTAGTCGGGGAATCCGAGTGGATCCTTTATGCGTGAGATGTGGTATGGGAGATGAGACGATTAACCATATGTTATTTGAATGCCCACCAGCCCGACAGGCTTGGGCGCTATCCCCTATTCCAACGCCTCCCTGTTTTCCTACTGGGGCTTTGTTCTCAAATATGGCCCATCTCTTCTGGAGCCTCCCAGAGGCTGATGACATGATGATCTACCCATGGTTACTATGGTTTATTTGGAAGGCGCGGAATTATAAAGTTTTTTCAAATGATGATCATGACCCGCGAGAGGTTTTAGAGTCTGCGATAACAGAAGCCCGTGCATGGGCTTCTGCACAAACGGTTCTGAACCAGTCCGGTTCTTTCCGGCAAACAACACCGCGATCCCGATATCGGGTGAATGGTGTCAAGTTGATGGGGCGTGGAAGGAGACAGAATGTCGTGCAGGGCTTGGTTGGTATAATTTCGATCCAAGTTCAGGATCAATTCTGGTGGGTTCCTGTAATTTAGCGGGGATTTATCCCCCTTGCAAACAGAATTGGAGGCTTTGGTGTGGGCCATGCAACTCATGCTGGTTCATAACAAACGGCAAATGAATTTTCAAACAGATTGCGCTGAACTGGTGAAGATGGTGGCGAAACCTGAAGACTGGCCGGCGTTCGAGGCTTTGCTCGAGGAGGTGGAGAAGTGCAAACGGAAGTTCCATGTTTTCTCCCTCACCCACATTCCAAGGACGAAGAACACAAAGGCAGACAAGCTAGCACGAAGTGCTCGAGATCAGCCTTATGATGTGTATTATGTAAACTCAATTCCACCGGTTACGCTTCCCGTACCGTGATAGGAATTTAGGCTGTCGACAAAAAAAAAAAAAAAAAAAAAAAATATATATATATATATATATATATATATATATATATATATATATAAAACATAGTTTCGTAAGTAAACCCGAACGACAACTTTTACCAATTTCGAATAATTATTATTTTGTGGCATAGACGAGCTCCATACAAGTGAATGACTAAAATTCGTTCAGAATAGTGTCATTAGATAAAAATAAATAAATGAGGAAGGAAGGAATTGGTGAACAAGACAAGCTGCAGGCAAGTGTATGAGTTGTGTAATAGCTGAAAAGACCCTTGATGTACATAAGTGACCATTTTACGCAATCTAATATGGACCTTTGATAGGTAACGAGAGAGTTCAGTAACTCATTGGGAATCTACTGATTCGAGGAACAGGAGTGCACTTGAGTGGGTATGCCATTGTCAAGACCATTCCTGAAAGAGTCTCTTCCATGTTAACCTTATCTCCTTTGATTCTCCAATCAAAGCACTGAATCATCATTCCAATCGCGGTTCCTAGAAAGATATAAGCTAGATTTGATCCTGGACAACCTCTCCTTCCGCTCCCGAAAGACAAGTACTTAAGTACTTGCTCTCTTATCTCCTCTTCTTGCCCTAATCTTCTTGAAGAATCCAGAAACCTCTCTGGCTTAAACTCATTAGGTTCTTCCCAATAAGTTGGATCTCTCATTACAGCATAACCATTAACTACTATTGTTGTCTTCTCCGACACGTAAAAGCCTCCCATCTTACATCCTTCTTGCAACCTCCTTCCGAATATAGGGACTGGTGGATACAGTCGTAGACCTTCTTTGACCACCGCCTGCAGGTAAGGGAGGTTTGGTAGATCTGTTTCTTGAATCAAACTTGATTTCCCTACCACTGAATCCATCTCTTCTCTTAATCTGACAATAGTTTTAGGGCTGTTAATGATTTCAGCCATTGTCCACTGTATCGTTTGCTTTGATGTGTCAGTGCCTCCAAGGAAAAGCTCCTAGAAGTTTCATACTTTTCTTAGACATCAAGGTAAATTAAATGAATCTAGTTAAAGTGATGTGAGAGGAAGATTTTTTTATTTACCACGTACAAGGACTTGATGTTATCCCTAGTGATCTTATACTCTGCCTTTTCATCTCCTTTGGCTTCCAACAATACGTCCATCAAATCCACACCTTGATGATGATGATGCTGCTTCTCTAGTTTCTCTTCGTGTTCCACAAGAAACCTCTCTAGAACCTCGTCGTATCTGTCCGAAATACCCATTATCTCCTTTTTAAACAATGAGATTCCGAACTTCTCAAGCGGCTTGCGCAACAAGGTTGCAAATAAAACCTTCTTGGACAAGGCAATAGATTCTGTAATCAACACCCTGACTCTCTCAGCCTCACCATTCTCCTCCCAACAACTCCTCCCAATTACCATCTTGCATGTGCTGTTGTTAGTGAACTTCATCGCTTCTTTACGGATCTCAACGCTCTCCTTCTTCACCGCTTTATCGAGCAGGTCAAAGTAAAATCGCTCTAGCTCCTCTGCACGGAGGGATCTTGACTGCTGGATTGCTTGTGGTCCAAGCAGCTTGGAGACGACGAGCTTCTTCATGAACTTCCAGTAATCCCCATGTGGAGCGGAGAAGAAGCCGGAAGATCCGAAAAAGAGGGACTCGTCGATCGGTGTGAGGCCACGAGAGGAGATGTTCACATCATGGGTCTTGAAGATTTCGTGGGCCATTGAGGCAGAAGATACGAGAACTATAGGGACATTGAAGATGCGGAGATGGAGAAGAGGTCCGTACTTGGAGGAGATTCTCTGAAGAGACTTGTGGATTAGCGAAGATAAGAGAAGGTGGAGATGACCAATGATCGGCATAGAAGGAGGGCTCGGAGGCAATTCAGAGCAATCTTTTGGTTTCTTGAAGAAGAAGAGGAAGATACAGAGGAGTGAGAAAAGGCATAGGAGGATTAAGATGAAGCAGTTTTGAAATTCAATGCTGTTCATTGTTTCTCAGAGTGAAGAAGTTGCAAGATGAAACTAGAAGCATTCGTTAATCAAGAATCGATCATGCTCTGCTTATTATATAGACTAATGGGTTGTTTCTTGAAGGAGCTTAAATATAATTGATAAAGAAAAATGTGTTAATATCGTAATGCAAGTTGACAGAAAAAAAATAAGAAGACTACTATCATAAAATTTGGTTTTCCAAAGTATAAAACATCAATTCATATGATATAAATTTTTCAATCTTATTCAGCTTTAAAATTTTATTTCAATTTTAAAATGAGAAAAATTAAAATATACCACTTGTAGTATACAATACAACCGAAGTTATCATCTAATCGTTAAAAATCTGTGAATGCAATATTTCAGATTTGTAGGACCATCATTTCAACAATATGACAAAACTGAATAATTCAAAAATATATTGATATAAAACATACCTAACAAACAACAATTGATACAAAAATACGATGACAAAAATGAGTTGTATGAAGGGGAGATATCAGATATCGTTTCCTTAATTCTTTGATTGCATATAGTGTGACCGGTTTAATGCAATCAGAATTTCAAGATAGAACCACACCTTCTAATTTGCAGCACTCAAAATCAGAAGTAAACGTACGTTTTGTGTACTCTCATACCAAAATAAGGAAGATGAAGAAATAGAATATAAAATAAAGTGGGAGATTGTTTTTTCATGTGGTGTGAACAAGGTTCAAGACACCAATGCTTTATAATCAAACCGAGAGAGGCGGAGTGAGTGCACTTTATATCGAAAATGTTTAAAGCTTCTTCATTTTTAAAATTTTTATTGCAATTTTTATTACAATACAACCGAAGCTGTCGTATATCATAAAAATCTGTGAATGCATAATATTTAAGATTTTACAGAGGTCACTTTACCCTCCCTCGAAGGTGGTTCCGCCACTATTCCACTACACATGTTAAAACAAAAAACTTTTATGTAGAGTTTTACATAAACAAACACTTTCTCATTAGATACAGTTATTCTATAACTAGATGATTTCGGTTTTGATTAAAAGAATCCTACCACTTTTGTTTTATGTAGCTTGAATTCCAAATTCAGACAGGAGTAAACATATCTACGCAACTCCAAATCTTCTCCATGTATGGTTAAAGTTAGAATGCATATAATTCGATTTGGTAAGCATTTATTTTGTTAAACATAAACAAAACCTTAGGTAAGCAGTCACATGTGTCTTTTCAGCTATTACACAACTCATTCACTTGTGTGCAGCTTGTAACAGTTCTCACAATTTGTATTAGATTAGTCAATTAGTGTTAAAAAAAAAAAAAAAAAGTAGCAACACTTGCTCATCGCCTTCCGCCGAAGGAGACAACTAATATGACTATCTGACCATAGGAGTGTGATAGTGGGACCAGACCATATCTATCGGTACACATTTAATTTTGACAGAAAATTTAATAAACCTGTCAACTAAATGGCATGAAAAAGACTTTTTTTTTCTTTCTATTTTTGGTTTTAGTGGTTACGATTGATGTACTTCTGAAATTTGGTCCAACTGTTGAATAGATCCAAAATGAAAAAATTTGGTCCAACTGTTGAATAGATCCTTTTTGCCGATGACAGTCTCTTTTTCTGCAGAGCGACGGGGAGGAAAGTAGGGTATTACTCCAAATCCTAAAGGAGTATGAAATTACCTCGGGCCAACAAATTAATTTCGCCAAATCTTCAATACAGTTTGGACATAAGGTTGATGCAGGGGTGAGAGCGGAATTACATCAGATTTTGGGAATTAGTAATGTGAGAGGCGTGGGGAGTTATCTCGGTATCCCGGAGAGTCTCGGAGGTGCCAAGACGAAGATATTCAGCTTTCTGTAGATAGACAGCACCAACGAATTAATGGTTGGCACTCCAAATGGTTATCGAAAGGGGGAAAAGAGGTCCTAATTAAGTCTGTGGCCTCAGCAATGCCCATGTATGTGATGTCATGCTTTCGTCTGCCTAAAGGGATTACAAATAAACTCTCTAGCGCAGTCTCAAATTTCTGGTGGAGTAATAATGGACAGACACGGGGAATGCATTGGCTAGCATGGAAAAAACTTTGTCGGCACAAAAACGATGGCGGCCTGGGATTCCGTGTTATTGAGGATTTTAACACGGCTTTACTTGCAAAACAGTTGTGGAGGCTCATTAACTTCCCCGACTCGTTATTCGCACGGGTTTTCAAAGGACGTTATTATCGGAACGCAACTCCTATGGACCCTATTCGATCTTACTCTCCCTCCTATGGATGGCAGAGTATAGTTTCAGCTCGACCTCTGGTTAAAATAGGACTTATCAAAAGGGTTGGTTCAGGAACATCTATCTCTGTTTGGGATGATCCCTGGATTCCAGCTTCTACCCCGAGGCCAGCCACAGGAGATGGGATCAATTACTACCCTCACCTCCGGGTGAGCGAGTTGATTAATCCCAGTACAACAACGTGGAATTTACCACTATTGAATCAATTGTTTGACAGTATGGATGTATCACTAATTCTCGGGATCCCAACCTCACATGTCGCTCGACCAGACTCCATGGGATGGTTTTTTACGAAGACGGGAAGATATACGGTGAAATCGGGTTACAGGATTCTGCAACAAAGCTTGGACGCTGATGGGCCCATCTTTATTGGTCCGGACACACGGCGTCTTCAAGCACAGGTTTGGAAGGTACAATGTACTCAGAAATTACAGCATTTTATTTGGCAAGCTTTGACGGGATGCATAGCGGTAGGGGCGCGACTCCAGAGTCGCGGTATGCAGATAGACCCACAATGTATGCGGTGTGGAATGGCGGCAGAAACAGTGAACCACACACTGTTTGAATGCCCACCGGCACTGCAAGTTTGGGCTCTATCTCCAATTCCAACGGCTCCACAGCGTTTCCCTACAGGAAGTTTGTTTGCAAACATGGCATATCTTTTTTGGAATTTGCCAGACGATGATAGAATGCGGATGTATCCTTGGTTAATTTGGTATATCTGGAAATCACGAAATGATAAGGTTATGGCGAATGTGGACTGGGACCCAAATGAAATAATAATCAAAGCAACAGCGGAATCTTCGGCATGGGTAACCGCCCAGGAAAAAATGTAATGCTATGTCCACCACTGACAACCTCAGGGGAATCCCCTAGAACGGGTGATATTTGTCAAATAGATGGGGCCTGGAAGGAGACAGAGAGTCGAGCTGGGCTAGGATGGTTTTATTTGAACATGAATACTCAGGAAAAGCTAATGGGAACTCGTAACTTGAGAAGGGGAATATCGCCCCTCCAAACGGAGTTGGAGGCACTTATTTGGGCCATGCATTGTATGCTGCGGCATAATAAATTGCTAACGCGATTTGAGACGGATTGCTCTGATGTGGTGAAGATGGTGTCTACGCCAGAGGAGTGGCCAGCGTTCGCAATACTTCTTGACGAGGTTGACCGGTGTAAACGGAGGTTCACCTCCTTCTCCATCGCGCACATACCTAGGACGAAAAACACGAAGGCAGACAAGTTAGCACGGAGTGCTCGAGCTCTACCTACTGATGTGTATTATGTAAACTCTGTTTCGCCAATTTGGATTCCCGAACTGGTTTAGAAATAGAGGCTGTCGACAAAAAAAAAAAAAAAAAAATTAACAGCGAAAATTGTAAGGCATTGACGATATTGGAATTTTGGATGCCATTCTTTGAGAAATCAGAAAGAAATAAGGGAAATTACAGTGCGCCAACAACATTACTAATTCTTTATTAAATGAGGTGTCAATATTTTTGCCACAATTTCAGGATCTTCTAAAAATAAACCCTCTCTTTTTATTTTAGACTATTTACATATATGCTATAAGAAATTATCAAGATATTAATAATTACAAATATTGTCATTCATATTTTTGGTTAGGGAATCAAATAACTACAAATATTGTCATTCATTTTTTTGCTAGAGAATTAAATATATATTATTAAATTAATCATATATATAGCTATTAATAAAAAAATTATCATTTTCTTTTCTTGGCAATTACAAAAATTAGTAAATAAGGAAAATATGATCAATTTAATTCTATCATAATAATTTTTTTTAAAAATCATTAGATATCTCTTTTCATCTTTGTTTACCTCTATTTTATAAAATAATTTGAATTGTATTTTTCTGTATATACTATGATTTGAATTTTAAAAAACAAAATATTCACTAAAACTCTTAAAATTCCCATATATGATATGTTATTGTTTTAGTTTTGAATGAAAGAGAAAAAAGTTAGTTATAGTCCGTGTGCATAGTTACAAAAGATATAATTCATGTGCATATATCTATAATTATTTATCTTATAAAATACATGATATATAATTTTTGAAAAAGAATAGTATTTTATTTTCATTTTTGTTCTTTGAAGAATTTATTATATTGTAATCATTTGAGTTTTATGTATCTCGCTTAAATCTATCATATTTAATTTATGGCTACGATCAACATTTTATTTTGTTTAACTTTTTTGAAAATGGTTTAAAATGCTTAATTTCCACACTATAAACCAAAACAAGAACCTAACAAAGGTGAAAAATATGTCGTATAAAATTTCAAAATAGTTATATATACATTTCTGATTAAAAAATACAAATTTAAAAATCATCACCACATGCAGGACACGGGTCAAACCCTAGTCTACTATTAGAACCAGAGCCGTGGGAATCTTAACAACTACCATGAGCGAGCTCAAAAAAATGCCTTTATTCATAAAAGAAAAACTTATGATAAGAAATATGATTGTCACAAAGCAAAAAAAACATATTGATTTCTGTTTTCTCTCTTCTTCCTTTTTCTTCTTCTTCTTTCCGTTTTCTACTCCACACGGTTGATTTCTTTTGTTCAATGAAATTTTCTATTATACAGAAGGTAAGATTATGGATTTATGATGAGTACTCGCAGATTTTGAAATAACATGGACAAGAATTGTTTACAAAATAACAAATTAATTGAAAATAACAGATAAAAGTAATATTTTCCCTTAATTGTAACTAGAGAAACTTGATAAACTCTGAAACTAATGCATCTATTGAACTCCTTATCAATGAATAAATGATCAACAACAAAGCCGTAAGTCCAAGGAAGAAGAAGAAGAGTTTAATTGATTTTTTACCCTAATTGTTTTTTTCTTTCGTTTCTACTTTATTTACTTGATTACTTAAATTATTAATTTTGTAGAAACTTCTTTAAGCCCGTATATTTACTTAACTGTAGCCCTGGTCCATATAGTTAATGGCCTATATATGAATTTTTGAAGAATCTAGGTATATTACCCGCGCGTAGCGCGGGTTTTGTTTTTATGTTTTTTTTTATAAAACATTTATGCATTTTCTAATTTTCTGTTTATTTGATTATGATAATTTTTTACTATAGTAAACCTATGTTCTTATTCTTCTTCTTTTGTTTATTTTTCTTCGTTCTATTCTTATTTTTTCCGGTTTTTTTTCTTCTTTGGTTTCTTCTGTATTCTTCCTCTTCAGTTCCTTTATTCTTACAATTTATTATTCTGTATACTTCTTCATCTTTTATTTTTTTTTTGTCTTCATTCTTTGATATCTTTGTCTTCACTTTGTTTTTTTTTTTTAATGTTTCTTCTTATTCTTTATGCTCGGTTATTGTTCTTCTGTTTCTTTTATAATTAGTGTAGACGGTCAAAGTTTCTATAATGGTGCTATATATATGTATTTTTTTTTTTTAGCTTCTTTTTCTGAATTTGTCTCCGCTGAAATTTTTTCACGACTTTATCTATTTTATAAATAATTTTATTGTAATTTCTTTAATTTAATCTTACGCAGAATAAAATTTTCAGTATCTTATACACTTGATCAAACTTAAAAAAATGAAAAAGATTCGTAAAAACAAATAAGGTAGAGATAGTACAACTACATATTCACACATGTAAGAAGCAATGTCTAACAATAATATAAATATTTCAATTTAAGTGATCATACAAATATTGTTTAGCATAACTTTCAATTTTATATTGGTTTCCTGATTTAACGTTATCTTCTTTGGTTTCTTTTATGTTTTTGTTCTTTGCTATCTTCGTCTTCGTTTTTCTTCATTTACTTCTTTTTATTTTTGCTCTTCTTTGTTTTTATTCTTCTATGATAAAAAATTTTCCATCGAAATTATTTGGTTTTGCTAGATTTTGTTTCTTTCAGCTGCTTCTTCTTTTATGCATTCCCTTTAAATTTTCCATACTATAACTTTTGTTAATATGTTTGGTATAAACCTTTTTAATCTTATGTAGAACAAATTTTCACTATGTGATGCACCTATATGTACATTTCAATAAACTTATGCTAATAAAGCTAATATTATTGTAGATAAGTTATTATTTTTGTTGAATTTCTAAGGGTATAAAACTTATTTAAAGATAAGCTAATCGACGCACATCGTTGTTTTTCATTCTTGTTTATTAGTAATATATTTTAATTTTCTTTTATTTAGTATTATTCAATCTCTTCTGGTTTGATTTCTTCTTTGTTTATATGAACCAATCAAATTCAGTTTTTTTTTTCAATCCTAGGTGGACACCATTAGAGACTTATATGGTAAACTTTTATTAGTAATAGGAGATGATTTCTTTGTATTTATTTTTATAACAGTTAAAAAAAAAAAAATTGGTGCTGCCAAGATTTGAACTGTAGACCATCTCTGTAAGGCAAGCGTGATAACCACTACACCACATCACCTTGTTCCTAAAAAAGAAATTTATTTTTCTAATTACTTAGTGCATTTGCAATACAAAATGCTTATTAAAGATGCTCAAATCTGAGATTTCATTAAAATTAATGATTGAATGGGCCATAATAGATAGTATGGCTTTTTAATCAATTTCCACTAATATAAAAAATGCCTTCTAATGCCATTGCTTATTATATAATCTATATAAAATTATAATTATTAAAATCTAATTAATAAAATATTTGTAAAATAGAAAATTTACTAAAATTAATATATTAAAGTAATAATACTAATGTGGAATAAAAGAATATATATGGATATTAAAAATGTAAATTTACTAATAAAAATAAAAAGGAAATAATGAAATTAATTATTCAATTAAAAAATAATTGGCTGATCAGAAAAAGAAGTGAATGAATTAGCCATTGCATTTCAAAAATCGATTAAGAGATTGTGAATGTCTTTATTCTAAACTTGGTTTTATGAGGCAATAAGTATCATGTATATATAGGATGTAAGATCATTGTATTCCTAATGGCAAAAAGAATTATATCATCATTAGAAAATAAAAGGAATCACTATACAATAAGAAAATTAGAGAAGTAATTACAAAATTAGAAATTATCCTAATCCTAATATTTCTCAAATTTGCTAATAAGAATAAAAAGGAAATTAGGAAATTAATTATTCAATAATGAAAAGAAAAAAATAATGACATGGACCAATCAAATACAGTTTTAGAATCCTAGGTGTACACCTTCTTATGCATATAGGGTGAACCTTTATTAGTATAACTAGGTTTTTGACCCGCGCATGCGCGGGTCTGTTCTAATGAAATTTTAAACTGTATATATATATATATATTATATTATTTTTTTTACAAACGCTTCACATTTTTTTTTTTGTTTTTTTTTTAAAACTTTTCTTTGTAATATACTTTTTAATTATTTTTTAATTAACCAATTTAATTATTTTATAATTATTCATAATAAGTAAGGTACTTTTTAAAAATATATTTTCTGTAAAAAAACATACAACAGCCTTATCTTCTCATTTCTTAATTTAATCCCTTAATTTTACTATTCATTAGACACTTTTTAATTTTTTATATCCATTAAAGGTCATCTGGCAAGTTTTTGTACAATCCAATATTAGTCTAATATATATTTTAGTTGTTAATTTCCTTTTTAATTTTATTTATTAGTTTATCTTTTCCAGCTCTGAGTTTATGGTTTATACTTAATTTATTTATATATTTTTTTGATTTAATTATTTTCCATTCAATTCCATTTAANTAGGTATATTACCCGCGCGTAGCGCGGGTTTTGTTTTTATGTTTTTTTTTATAAAACATTTATGCATTTTCTAATTTTCTGTTTATTTGATTATGATAATTTTTTACTATAGTAAACCTATGTTCTTATTCTTCTTCTTTTGTTTATTTTTCTTCGTTCTATTCTTATTTTTTCCGGTTTTTTTTCTTCTTTGGTTTCTTCTGTATTCTTCCTCTTCAGTTCCTTTATTCTTACAATTTATTATTCTGTATACTTCTTCATCTTTTATTTTTTTTTTGTCTTCATTCTTTGATATCTTTGTCTTCACTTTGTTTTTTTTTTTTAATGTTTCTTCTTATTCTTTATGCTCGGTTATTGTTCTTCTGTTTCTTTTATAATTAGTGTAGACGGTCAAAGTTTCTATAATGGTGCTATATATATGTATTTTTTTTTTTTAGCTTCTTTTTCTGAATTTGTCTCCGCTGAAATTTTTTCACGACTTTATCTATTTTATAAATAATTTTATTGTAATTTCTTTAATTTAATCTTACGCAGAATAAAATTTTCAGTATCTTATACACTTGATCAAACTTAAAAAAATGAAAAAGATTCGTAAAAACAAATAAGGTAGAGATAGTACAACTACATATTCACACATGTAAGAAGCAATGTCTAACAATAATATAAATATTTCAATTTAAGTGATCATACAAATATTGTTTAGCATAACTTTCAATTTTATATTGGTTTCCTGATTTAACGTTATCTTCTTTGGTTTCTTTTATGTTTTTGTTCTTTGCTATCTTCGTCTTCGTTTTTCTTCATTTACTTCTTTTTATTTTTGCTCTTCTTTGTTTTTATTCTTCTATGATAAAAAATTTTCCATCGAAATTATTTGGTTTTGCTAGATTTTGTTTCTTTCAGCTGCTTCTTCTTTTATGCATTCCCTTTAAATTTTCCATACTATAACTTTTGTTAATATGTTTGGTATAAACCTTTTTAATCTTATGTAGAACAAATTTTCACTATGTGATGCACCTATATGTACATTTCAATAAACTTATGCTAATAAAGCTAATATTATTGTAGATAAGTTATTATTTTTGTTGAATTTCTAAGGGTATAAAACTTATTTAAAGATAAGCTAATCGACGCACATCGTTGTTTTTCATTCTTGTTTATTAGTAATATATTTTAATTTTCTTTTATTTAGTATTATTCAATCTCTTCTGGTTTGATTTCTTCTTTGTTTATATGAACCAATCAAATTCAGTTTTTTTTTTCAATCCTAGGTGGACACCATTAGAGACTTATATGGTAAACTTTTATTAGTAATAGGAGATGATTTCTTTGTATTTATTTTTATAACAGTTAAAAAAAAAAAAATTGGTGCTGCCAAGATTTGAACTGTAGACCATCTCTGTAAGGCAAGCGTGATAACCACTACACCACATCACCTTGTTCCTAAAAAAGAAATTTATTTTTCTAATTACTTAGTGCATTTGCAATACAAAATGCTTATTAAAGATGCTCAAATCTGAGATTTCATTAAAATTAATGATTGAATGGGCCATAATAGATAGTATGGCTTTTTAATCAATTTCCACTAATATAAAAAATGCCTTCTAATGCCATTGCTTATTATATAATCTATATAAAATTATAATTATTAAAATCTAATTAATAAAATATTTGTAAAATAGAAAATTTACTAAAATTAATATATTAAAGTAATAATACTAATGTGGAATAAAAGAATATATATGGATATTAAAAATGTAAATTTACTAATAAAAATAAAAAGGAAATAATGAAATTAATTATTCAATTAAAAAATAATTGGCTGATCAGAAAAAGAAGTGAATGAATTAGCCATTGCATTTCAAAAATCGATTAAGAGATTGTGAATGTCTTTATTCTAAACTTGGTTTTATGAGGCAATAAGTATCATGTATATATAGGATGTAAGATCATTGTATTCCTAATGGCAAAAAGAATTATATCATCATTAGAAAATAAAAGGAATCACTATACAATAAGAAAATTAGAGAAGTAATTACAAAATTAGAAATTATCCTAATCCTAATATTTCTCAAATTTGCTAATAAGAATAAAAAGGAAATTAGGAAATTAATTATTCAATAATGAAAAGAAAAAAATAATGACATGGACCAATCAAATACAGTTTTAGAATCCTAGGTGTACACCTTCTTATGCATATAGGGTGAACCTTTATTAGTATAACTAGGTTTTTGACCCGCGCATGCGCGGGTCTGTTCTAATGAAATTTTAAACTGTTATATTTATTATTTTTTTTTACAAACGCTTCACATTTTTTTTTTTGTTTTTTTTTAAAACTTTTCTTTGTAATATACTTTTTAATTATTTTTTACTTAACCAATTTAATTATTTTATAATTAGTCATAATAAGTAAGGTACTTTTTAAAAACATATTTTCTGTAAAAAACATACAACAGCCTATCCTCACATTTCTTAAATTAATCCCTTAATTTTACTATTCATTAGACACTTTTTAATTTTTTATATCCATTAAAGGTCATCGGCAAGCTTTTGTACAATCCAATATTAGTCTAATACATATTTTAGTTGTTAATTTCCTTTTTAATTTTATTTATTAGTTTAGCTTTTCCAGCTCTGAGTTTATGATTTATACTTAATTTATTTATATATTTTTTTAGTTTAATTATTTTGCATTCAATTCCATTTAATAAATTCATCTCTTTATTTTTAAATCACTGTTTTGATAGTTAAAAAGTCTCATATATTCCAAACTTTTCTTTTTCGTATCCTGTTTAATTAATAACCGTGTTTCCAATTCCCGGTTCCATTGTTTTGGTTTTTACGGTTCGGTTTTGCTATCACATTGAAATTAGAAATGATTTGTCGTTTTTCTTCATTTGCGACAACAAAATCGAACAATGTTTCTACCTTATTCCCACCGGAACATTGTTAATCTCATCATCGAGATCCCTCTTCTTTGTTTCTCATCTTGGTTATTTGCCTTAATCCCTCTGAGCGATTGAGACCTGTCAAAACTAATTTGATCAATTGATTGAGGGAACAGTTTCTGCTTTAATCCCTCTTCCGAGACTTTATTTCTCTGTTTCTTCTACTGATTCTCTCAAGCTAATCACTTCGTGAAAGGTTTGAATTTTCCTTATTTTGAAGCCAGTTTTGTTGATGTTGAGATTATGTGTTTAGCGTTTAATCTATTTCTTCCGATCCGAATTTGTGATAAATCTATAACTCTAGGTGATGCCAACTGCTCCGCCAAGTTCCAGAGACTCAGAGATATCTAATTTTTCAAAATTGTCGCCTTTCGATGGACGTTACTGGGGTAAAGCTAATGACTTTGCCTCTTCCATGAGCGAGTTTTCTTTTATCAATTTCCGAGTACTTGTCCGGGTACTTGTTTCTCACCCAAGTGAATGTTTATTATCTAATTTATGATTTTGTTCTTTTCATTTTTGTGTTGACTAAGTATTTGCGAGTTCTTTAGTTGTCTAATGCTCTTTTTTTTTTAATATATATATTTGGTAGATTAAATTGCCTCTGTATCTTTCAAAAGTCCCTCAAGTCACCGAAGTTCCATGCTTTTCAAAAGATGGTGATGTCTACTTGCAATTCATATTCGATGTGTTTAGCATTGATGATACGTTGGAAGTTAATAAGGTCGAGAGAGTAGCATATGATGATGTGAAAGCTGTGGAGTATTTCTTGAAACAAAAGTTTGAATCACAGCCAGAGATTGTCAAGGTTGGTAAACTTTCTCTCTGTTCCACCAAGTACTTAGCAACATTAGATAATGGTCTTTAGATAAAAAGTAAAAGGATAAGCATTAGATAATAGTCTTTTAATCGAACATTAGATCTAGTCTATCTATTATAGCACGGCATGTCTTTGAACTCAGCTATTGATCGTCTTGGTTCATAAGTTTCTCTATCTCCATCAAAGTGTATTGCTTTAGCTGATTTTTCATTTATATGTAGGCTTGGGAAGTTGAAAGTCTTGCGTTTTCTGTGAAGCATGTCTTCACCTAGTGATTTCCAATAGCGATTCTACAAATTTAGAGGACTCCCAACTTGACAAAATATCAGCAAGCAAACAAATAGTCTTCGTAGTTGATAAGATGTAGACCGTTGAATTGCTTCGTCCATCACGTCATGCCACTCGGAGTCTGAATCTAGGAGAACTGACGCAGTCGGAATGCACTAGATCAACAAGCGTTGGATCTATAATTGAAGAATCAAGCTTGCAAGCGACAAGCTTAAAGAAATATGCTCTGGAATCCACCAGAAAGGTAAAACTCGAAAACTCGAAGTCTTTGATTAATAATGATAAAAGTTGTCTAAAACATATCACCTAGAGTTCTTTATATAGAGAAGGCCTAATACGTAATATAGGTAATTCTTAGGAATAAGGAAAACTACTAAAATCCTAATAGGAAAAGGAAATACGTAAAAAGGAAAATATTCTGTAAACTAGAATGGATTAAGCTTGGTAACCGTCTCTTGCATCAGTCTCCTCCACTTCCAAAGAACTCGACCCCGAGTTCTCATCTGGATAAAGAACACCATCGGCATGATACTCATAAATGTCAGCCACATTGAACGTATGGGAGATGTTCATGTCGTCTGGAAGATCCACCACATAAGCATTGTCATTGAGCTTCTGCAAAATCTTGAACGGACCATACTTGCGAGGCTGAAGCTTGCGATAAGTACCAACTGGAAACCTTTCTTTTCTGAGAAACACCATCACTTCATCTCCTTCTGTGAAAACCTTGAGTCTTCGACGTTTATCTGCTGCCCTTTTATTCTTTTGCCCAGTTGCTTCCAATCGTGCTCGAACTGCTTCTTTAGTTTCCAAAATGTCTTTAGCCATTGCCTCAGCTGACGCACTAACTCCAGGAGCTTTCGGTAATGGAACTAAATCTACCACATGCTTCGGGACAGAGGTATACACCAAGGAAAATGGTGACTTTCCTGTAGCTGAATGCACGGCCATGTTGTATGCGAATTCCACTTGTGGCAATGCGAGATCCCACTGTTTTGGTTTATCACCACAAACACTCCGTATCATATTGCCTAACGTCCTGTTTGTCACCTCGGGTTGCCCATCACTCTGTGGATGAGCCGTAGAGCTTCGTTTCAAACTCGTTCCAAACATCCTCCATAATGTAATCCAGAAATGGCTGAGAAACTTGGTATCTCTGTCTGAAACTATTGATTTAGGAACACCATGGAGACGCACAATTTCTCGAAAGAATAATTTTGCTATGTTGGATGCGTCTGCGGTCTTCCGACAAGCAATGAAGTGTGTCATCTTGGAGAACCTGTCAACAACAACAAACACAGAATCCACACCTCGTTGAGTCCGTGGTAATCCCAACACAAAATCCATAGATAGATCCTGCCAGATATCGTCAGGAATGGGTAATGGCATGTAAAGACCCGTATTCTGAGATTGACCCTTGGAAACTTGACATATATAACACCTCCGGACAATAGCTCCAGCATCCTTCCGAAGATGCGGCCAATAATACCTTTCCTCTAAACTTGCGATTGTCTTATCTCGTCCCAAATGACCGCTAAGACCACCACCATGTAATTCTCGTATCAGCTTCTCATGCAGAGAAGAGCAAGGGATGCAAAGCCTATCTCCTTTAAAAAGATAACCGTCTCGAACATGGAAATCAGCCGAAGGATGATTCGTACAACACTTGCGCCACAACTCCTTGAATTCCTCATCGCTTTCATACAGTTCCCGCAAGAACTCGAAACCCACAATCTCATTGGCCAGAGTAGTTAATAAGGAAGCCCTTCTACTTAAAGCATCTGCTACCTTATTAAGAGTTCCCGACTTGTGTTGTATGATAAAAGGGAATTTCTGCAGAAAATTAACCCATCGAGCATGCATCTTATTGATCACCTTTTGGCTGTGAAGAAATTTGAGAGCTTGATGGTCCGTGAAAAGTATAAACTCACGCTGAACCAGATAGTGCTCCCATTGTCTTAAAGCTCGAAACACAGCATAGAACTCCTGATCATAAGTACTCCACTTCTGGCGTGCTTCACTTAGCTTTTCACTAAAGAAAGCTATAGGTCGCTTCTCTTGTGACAGTACAGCCCCTATGCCCACGCCACTTGCATCACACTCCACCTGAAACACTTTATCAAAATCCGGTAACGCTAATACTGGAGCAGTACAAAGCTTCTCCTTAATCAATGCAAAGCTCTCATCTTGTTCCAGACCCCATTGAAACTTTCCCTTCTTCAAACACTCAGTAATAGGCGCAGTAATGGTACTGAAGTCTCTCACAAACCTTCTGCAGAAAGTAGCAAGACCATGGAAGCTGCGTACCTCAGTTACGGATTTAGGAACATGCCAATCTTTGATTGCACTCACTTTGGCTTCGTCCACCTGAATCCCATCCTCACCAACGACAAACCCCAGAAATAGTAGCTTGTTTGTGCAGAATGTACACTTCTTTAGGTTCACGTATAGCTGATTTTCTTGGAGAACTTGCAAAACCCGCTGTAAATGCCCCAAATGGTCGTCCCTGGTTTTGCTATAGATCAAAATATCATCGAAATAAACTACCACAAAGGATCCAATGAAAGGATGGAGAATCTGGTTCATCATCCTCATGAAAGTACTAGGAGCATTTGATAACCCAAAAGGCATCACCAACCATTCGTACAATCCATCTTTGCTCTTAAAAGCAGTCTTCCATTCATCTCCAGGCCTGATGCGAATTTGATGGTACCCACTTCGAAGGTCGATTTTTGAAAACACCTTCGATCCGTTTAGTTCATCAAGCATGTCTTCCAATCGGGGAATAGGAAACCGATACTTGATTGTGATCTTGTTGATGGCTCTAGAATCAACGCACATTCGCCACTGGTTGAAGATACCACTTGACGCAGTCGGAATGCACTAGATCAACAAGCGTTGGATCTAGAATTGAAGAATCAAGCTTGCAAGCGACAAGCTTAAAGAAATATGCTCTGGAATCCACCAGAAAGGTAAAACTCGAAAACTCGAAGTCTTTAATTAATAATGATAAAAGTTGTCTAAAACATATCACCTAGAGTTCTTTATATAGAGAAGGCCTAATACGTAATATAGGTAATTCTTAGGAATAAGGAAAACTACTAAAATCCTAATAGGAAAAGGAAATACGTAAAAAGGAAAATATTCTGTAAACTAGAATGGATTAAGCTTGGTAACCGTCTCCTGCATCAAGAACTCTATCATAGGATACTGATTTGTAATCATCATATTTCGTGTCCCCAGCACTTTGAATCTCTTCAAAACTTTCCACTTTTGACCATAGACTTCTATCGCTGTTCCATGTAAATTTTTTCAGAAATTCCGAATAACTTATCTGATGAGCCTCTTCTGATTCTTCGTTTCTCTCCATCCATCGTCTAAACATATTTTTCTCAATGTCTTCCTTTGATTGAACTCTACTCATAATGAAAGAGTTATTACCATAAAGGTCCTCGTTCTTGTCAACAGATTCATTAAACTCCGGCTTGGAACGAATCCCAAAGTTTTGACCCTCAATAGTGTAGTCATCATGGTCGGCTTGCACCATTGTTGTTTCCGGAATGAATTGGATGAGAAATCTGTGTGAGGAGAACTTGTAGCTCGTTTTGTTGATGATGACAAAAAACTACCAATGTTGTAGACTTTCCCGCCTTTTGTTGTTGATGACCAGAAAGCTATTAAACTTGTAAACTTCACCAGCCTTTAATTTTTCCTCATAGTCTCCTAGTCGATAAGCTGGTATGAATGCTTGGATTGTAGTTCCCTGTATTAAATTATGGTAGAAAAGAGTATTATAAGCTGATGATGATTTAACTTTCTATTGGTAATTGGTAAATAATGTTGGTGTCGTTACCTTTTGATCGATTAGAAGCAGTTCATATCTCATAAGCAGACCTCTTTTTTAGGGTTCCTTGCCTCCCAGAAGTGGATGACTCTAGCAAGCAGCTCTTTCTTACAAAATCCTTTAGTGAGTTCATCGAAAACAAAAGGACGCCGTAACTGATCAGAAACAGAAGAGCTGGAAGAAGACATAGCTATTTTAATAAACGCTCTCTCTTGAAGAATATGTTGTCTTTAGAACTCTTGTATGGTATTCTAAAGTTTAGAGGACTATTTATAGCCAATGCCAAACATTGAAATAGCTAAATTGTTAATTTCCTTTTTATTTTAATTAGTTAGTTTAGCTTTTCCAATAATATGTTCTTTTTGTTAGTTTAACTCTTTTTATGTTGAATTTCCATTAAACTATTTAAAATAATGGGTTAAGGTAATTGGTGTCGTAATGTAAGTATTAAAATTCAAAATAGTACAATTTCCATTCTTTAATACAATAATGTAATTTTTCTCAAAAATTATTTAATTTTCGATTTTAAAATTAAAATGCTGATTTGGCGAAATTTAATTGGTTTCTTAAAAGCTGATGTGGACGCTCTCAGAGGCTTATAGCCTCAACTTTTATATAGTATAGATAGATATATAGGATGTAAGATCATTGTATTCCTAATGGCAAAAGGAATTATATCATCATCATATTTTCTAATGGTAAAAGGAATCACTATACAATAAGAAAATTAGAAAAGTGGTAATTACAAAATTAGAAATTATCCTAATCCTAATATTTCTCAAATTTGCTAATAAGAATAAAAAGGAAATTAGGAAATTAATTATTCAATAATGAAAAAATAATAATAATAATAATGACATGGACCAATCAAATACAGTTTTAGAATCCTAGATGGACACCCTCTAATGCATATAGGGTCAACTTTTATTAGTAATAGATAGATTGCTGCCCTAAATTCTTTTCTAATTATTTGCTGCCGTAAGCAAATGTTTCAAAAAATTGAACGTAGACACGACCCTGATTAGAACATCTCCAAGAGGAATGCTGCTACTCAACTTTCTTCATTTTTCTGATTTACAAGAGTAAAACTGCTACTCAACTAATCTACAAGTAGAATATCATTCGATTTTTTTTACCTATAGTGTTAGCAACTTACAAGTGATAAAAGAAGAATCAAATTAAAGTTACAAAATCAGACAAATTAGAGTACTTGTTACTTACAAGTGATGAGTTTGAAGAATCAGGCTTATCAGACCTTCTATATTCCTAGAAATTAACCTTAATAGAAGACAACACATGAGCATTTTCTATAAATAATGCCACTCAACTTTCTTTCAACTTTTTTTACTATAACATAAAACGTAATAATTTTTCTTTTTCTCCTAGAAGACTTAGACCTTTCAGTTTCCACATCTTTTCAAATTCCATTTAAAATTTATTTATTTTATTGAATCACAATCAATTTCACCAATTTTTTGGTTTTCGTGTAGAAAATTGAAACTACCCGTGAATAAAACATTACTCAATAAAAATAAATAACATTCGTTATAAAAATATAACGTGAGATGATTGCTTACAACAATAGAAGAATCGGCAAAAAAAATTGATATTTTCGCTAAATGAACCAGTTAAATTTGTATTTTGTTACTTACAAATTACAATTGAAAATTTGGACACAAATATTCCATTTTTGAAAAATGGAACCAGGAAAAGGTTGGATTTTTCTTACCTATAGTGTTGACAACTTACATGTGACAAAAGAAGAATCGAATGAAAATTACCAAATTAGACAAGTTTGGGTATTTGTTACTTACAAGTGACGAGCTTGAAGAATAAGACTCATCAAACCTTCAATATTCCCAGAAATTAACCCTAGTAGAAGACAACACATGAGCATTTTCTATAAGCTCCCACTCAACTTGTTTTCATTTTTTATTACAACAAGAAACGTAGTAATTTTTCTCTTTCTCCTAGAAGGTTTAGACCTTTCAGCTTCAAGATCTTTTCAAGTTCCATTTAAAAATACTTCTTTTATCAAGGCACAATCATAATCACAAATCTTTTGGTGTTTGATGTACTTGCATTTTACATAGTTTTGTACATCTTTCATGCACATTTTTACATAGTTTTAACATTCATTAGCATCATATCTTGTTTTTTCCTTTCTTATGCATACATTGTATTTTTAGGTTGCATTTGCATACATGTGCATGTTTGATCCTTAAACAGGTCTATTTGGAGCACTATGGAGCAATTGGGACATGAGGAGCAAGGAAGGACATCGTGCTTGGAACTCAGCTTGACCGCACATGCTCAAGAATGAAGAAAGAAGCCGCCTTGAAGCCAGCTCGACCCATCTGCGCGACCAACCAGCTCACCAGCTCGACCGGCCAAAACCAACTCGATCGAGCTGCGGAGTCAAAGTCAAACCCGAAAAATGTTGCTTCCCTTTGATCCTCCTTTGACCCTAAACCTAATCTTTTTCCTATTTAAAGGCGTGAAGCCACGAAAAAGACAACCTTCTTTTAGCTTAATTTTTATCTTTAGCTTTCTTTTAAGTTTGTATTTTGTACTTTTTCTTTGAAATCTTAGCCTCTTTTTGTGTTCTTGAGCTCTTGCTCATTGAACCTTAGATCTAGGCTTTATCTTTGTATTTTTGCACTTGTCTATTTCAATAAAAGTTGTTCTACTTGCTCTCCTCTATCTTTTGATGCTTCATTCATTGCATTTAGTTATGTATTTCGCAATGTGTAGTGAGTAGTTCTCCTTTAGGGTTTAAGATGGGCTAGATTAGAGGATTTTATGATTAATCTCTCTTGCTTGATGTTCTTATCTAAAATCTCTCTCTTTTGTACCAAGCCTAATCCAACACAACCACTATCCATGGTGTGTTTGATCTTGAGTGGTTTTCCTCATGGGAATGAATGGGAAATCGCTTGAACAAGTCCACTAAGAGCTTCAACATGCTTGATCCACGAAATGGAGTTTATAGGTGTTGAATGGGTGAGTTTGAGCAAAGTTTCTAAAGCCTCTAGGGCTTGATCTCACTGGCTGACCCCCTGTTTCTGAGATCTTTCCTTAGATGATAGCTTCCACCTTGGGAAAGGGTTAGCTAGGCTAAGAAGCTCAATACCAAGAGATAGCTTGAGTACAAGTGGTTTAAGAGCAAGATTGATTAAGTATAGCCTTCCTCTGATCGCAAAACCCCATCTTAGATCCTAACCTTCATCTTAATAGCTTAAAGTTTGCACCGTTATATTTTTGCATTCGGATCTAGAAAAAGAGAATTTGGTGCTGAATTTGGATACTTCGGATCTAGAAAAAGAGAATACTCTCACACTCATAGGGAGGTTAACAAACCCCAGAGAGCAAAGATTGAGATCCATGTTCTCCTTATTCACGGACCGCTGGGAGTTAAAACGAGGGTTTGAAGGCTCGGACCTGGGCCACGACAGCTTCCAACTCCGGTTCAAGCTGGAGGAAGACCTCCAGTAGGTCCTTAACAACAGACCATACCAATTTGGCAGATGGATGGTCATCATACAGAGATGGAAACCAATAATATCACCACTCTTCCCATCCCAGATCCCGTTCTGGATCCGTCTCAGGGGCCTTCCGCTACACTACTGGAAAGAGGAGCTACTACGCAACATAGGCAAAGAACTAGGAAGCCTAATAGACCACGAAGTATCGAAGGAGGAGGCGAAGATTCACGTCTCCATCAATGCCCTCGAACCGCTGGTCAAAGAAACTATCATAGAGTTTGCATATGGAGAGGAAGCACTGGTAACCCTAGAGTACGAAAGACTAGGGTTTCACTGCTCCATCTGCAAGAAACTGTCACATATCTCAAGAGATTGTAAGGAGATAAGCGAATCCAAGGAGATTGCAATACAAAACGAGAAATACCGCGAACGTGAGGCAACTGGCGGCAGACCCGAAAGGAGAGAAGAAGGAACAAGAGGCGACAGAGGCAGGGCTCATGACTTCAGTCAAAGAAAAGACAGATATGGTCAAACCTACGGTGAAAGAGGTCATTACAGCAACTATGGCAGAAAAAGACCTAGAGATATGTCTGTTGAATCAAGCACTCACCGAAACGCGTGGACAAACAGAGAGACACGAGCGAATGAACGCCACCACCAATACTGGGAGCGAGAAAGCTCCAACGGAGGTGAAAGAAGAGACATGCGAGACTATCTGAGAAGGAAAAACACGGGATATGAAAGAAACAGTCAGGACGGGCTCCAATGGAGGGAAAAAACACGAGAAAGAGAGACGAGACAAGGCTCTATACCGACAAGAGAGGGAAACTCTGATTTCCAGACGCCTCCGAGACAAGTAACACCCCAACAGCTCCCGGGAGTCCCAAAAACGGGAGCAGTAATGGAGGAACTGAGGGAAGTCACCATCCAGTATGTCAACGTGTCTGACCCTGTGGAGAGCGCTGCAAGTCAGCAAAGAGTAAACCAATCAGAAGAAATGGGCCTCATGGAAACAACAGCGGCAAACATAGTTGCAGCAGCGACGGAATCATATTACCGAGCTTTAAACTTTAGCCAAGAGGAGCAAAACCCAGCACAAGGAGAAAGTGTTGAAATTGGGGAGGAAGTTCCTGATACGGAACAAGTTCAGAAGAAAAGAAGAGGCAGACCACCTAAAAATAAGAGAAACAGCCCTATGGTGGGAACAAGTCTAAGAATAAGAAGATTCACGCAGATCCAGAATTCACCTCATCCACGACCCAAGCAGGCTAGAGCAACTGCATCCAACACGGCAGGACCATCTCGCAGGACACATCAGACCAAAGGGAGAATGCAGAGAGAGCAAGCAGACAACAACCAGTGGGCACGATCATACCGGCTCTGACAAGAGCAACGGTGGATTTTCGGTGTCCACCAAATCCAATTCCTTAAAAGTAGCTAGCTGGAATTGTTGTGGGCTGGGGAACCCTGCGACAATCCAGCGACTGAAGGGAATACGGTCAAGTATTCGCCCTGATATCTTGTTCCTCACGGAGACCAAAAACCCAGATGATGCCGTGCTCCAAAAACTACAACGCCTAGAATACGACGCAAACACATTAGTGTCACCACACAGTCCAGGGGGGGGGGGACTAGCTGTAACATCTGCAAACCAAAGAATTGTGATTTTTCTTTAGTGTCGGTCGACACCAGGGTGGTGTCGGTCACACCAATGGTTAAAATCAATTTCTGGTTCAATTTAAGTTCGGTTTAGGCCGGTTTGGGCCCAGGAAGCCCTAGAACTCGAAATAAAAAGCTGCAGCCGCTTCCTCTTCCTCTCTTTTGTCGTTTTGCGGACTGGAGAAGGAGAAGAGAGGCGATTTCGAGCTGAAATCCGGAGTTCTTCGTCGATCTGAGGCTCCTTGTTGTGTTCTTCCTTGTTTCATCCCCCTTTCTCTGTTTTCAACCCGATTTGAGGTGAGTGCATGACTGTAGGTCCGCAATTGCTAGATTTGGTTTGATTGATTAATTGTTCTTGAGTTGTTCATGTTGATTATGTGATATCTAGTGTTGTTTGGGTGTAATTCGTGTGGATTTGGTGTTTTATGTGATTTTCGTGCAGTTTTATTGATGTTGGCATCGGGCTGTCGAGCCGGTGTCGATGTCGGTCGACACAAGCCGGTTTGGTCCAGTTTAAATTGATTTAATTTAATTGGTTAATCTGGTTATCTGGTTTAATTCGTATTTAATTAATTAATGGTATTTTAATTAATTAAATGGCTTAATTAATTATTTTAAAATATGGAAAATTATTATTTAATTATGAGGATTATTTAATAATTGAGAAATGAAGTTTTAATTGTTAATAATTATTTAATAATTGGAAAATGGTATTTAATAATTATTGGAGTTTATAAATATTATTAAATATCTAGTAAATTGCGTAATTGGCTGTAGGCAGAGTGATTGCCTCACTAAGTATTTATTAAATACTTACGCAACTCCATTCCAATGTGTTGCAGGTAAAAGATTTGTGTGATCGCGGAATCAAGGCTGAAGAGGGGGATGATAGGATGTTTAATGTTTTATTGTTTTGCATTATTTGACTTGCTAGTACCTGGTGTTTAGGTTGCTAGTATTTCCTTTAATTATTTATTTGAATTTATTTGTTGAACCTGATTTATTATTTATTTATTTATTTAAAGACTTCCGCTGAATTGTTATTTAATTAATTTAATTAAAAAAAAATGTTGGTTGTTTCACTAGCACTACTATGGAAACAAGAACTGGAGGTAGAGATTCTATTTACCTGCCATAACTTCATTGATACTCGCATAAGAGCAGAGGGAAGGATGTTCTACGCAACTTTTGTGTACGGCGAACCGGACCAAACGAAGAGGCAAGAGATATGGCAGAAGTTGATGAATCAAACCCAAGACAGAACAGATCCATGGCTGCTCACCGGGGATTTCAACGAAATAATAGAGTCCACCGAGAAAAAAGGAGGACTAGTGAGACCGGAGAGCTACTTCACCAACTTCAGGACTTTTATGTCTGAATGCGACCTTTACGATCTCCGCTATTCGGGAAACTTCTTCTCCTGGAGAGGAGCAAGAAACGATCATCTCGTCAGATGCAGGCTCGATAGATCTATGTCGAACAGTGCCTGGGCAGAAGAATATCCCTCGGGAAGAAGTGAATACCTGCGTTTCGAAAGGTTGGATCACAGACCAATCATCACCATCTTTGATACCACCAAGAAGAAGAAGAGAGGCCTATTCCGGTATGATAGGAGACTCAAAGAAAACGAGGAAGTCCAGAAGCTCATCTTGGAAGCCTGGAATACAGATAATACAGATACGGTGGAGGGAAAGATCAATAGATGCAGACGAGAAATTATTCGTTGGAATAAGGAAAAACACCTAAATAGTCAAGAACAGATCGAGACTTACCGCCAGAGGCTGGAGGAGGCTATGACGGATGAACAACACAATGCCAAACTCATCGAGGAGCTTAATGAGAATTTGAAGAAAGCATATACAGAAGAAGAAGCTTTTTGGAAGCAGCGGAGTAGACAACTCTGGTTGGTGCTTGGGGAAAGCAACACAAACTATTTCCACGCTGTCACGAAGGGAAGAAAATCAATCAATAAGTTCTCGGTAATAGAAGATGAAGATAATAAGGCGGTATATACTGAGAGCCAAATCACGAAAGTGATTACCGAGTACTACCAAAAGCTGTTCACGTCAGAACCGGGAGAAAGAGAGTCTGTAGTGACACATGCCCTCAAACCGTGCGTCTCAAATCAGATGAATGAAGAACTGATAAAGATACCTTCCCCGGAGGAGATAAAGCAGGCGTTGTTCTCCATCCACCCAAACAAAGCTCCAGGACCCGATGGTTTCTCGGCCTGCTTCTTCCAATCTAACTGGGAAACAGTGAGAACGAAAATCATCTCGGAGATCCAGCTCTTCTTCTCCACAGGCAAGCTGCCAAAGAACATCAATGCAACACATGTCAGATTGATACCGAAGATCTCAAGCCCAAAGAAAGTATCCGATTACAGACCAATAGCGCTCTACAACGTATACTTCAAAGTGATCTCTAAAATTCTCACCTTGAGGCTCCAACCAATCCTCCACGGCATGGTGTCGGAAAACCAATCAGCCTTTGTCCCCCAAAGAGCCATATCGGACAACGTCCTCATCACGCATGAGACCTTGCACTACCTGAAGAACTCAAAGGCCAAAAAACAAGTTTACATGGCAGTGAAATCCGACATGACTAAAGCATACGATAGAATCGAATGGGAATTCGTCAAACTAGCTCTACAAAGGCTCGGATTTCATACTAAGTGGATACAATGGATTATGGAATGCCTGACTACAGTCTTGTATACATACCTTATCAATGGTTCGGCTCAAGGCTTAGTGAAACCAACAAGAGGAATACGCCAAGGAGATCCACTCTCCCCCTATATCTTCATCCTCTGTAGCGAAGTCCTCTCAGGGCTATGTAACAGAGCACAAGAAGAAGGAAAGCTGTAGGGAATAAGAGTCTAAGAGGAGCCCCAGAGTAAATCATCTTTTGTTTGTAGATGACACAATGATCTTCTGCCAGGCAAATTCCAAAAGCTGCAAGGCACTAATGTCTATCCTCAAGAAGTACGAAGAAGCATCTGGACAAAAGATTAATCGTCAGAAATCATCCATCACTTTCTCAGCCAAGACGAGCAATAATGTGAAACAACAAGTCAAAAATGCACTCGGGATACAACAAGAAGGTGGGAATGGGAAGTACCTAGGACTGCCGGAGCATTTTGGCAGAAGTAAAAAGGATCTCTTTAGCCGCATAGTCGACAGAATCAAGCAGCGAGTGCAGAGTTGGTCCACCAAGCGTCTCTCATCTGCGGGAAAATTGACAATGCTCAAATCGGTTTTAGCAGCAATGCCAACGTACACCATGACCTGTTTCAAACTGCCAGTTTCACTGACAAAACGAATCCAGTCAGCCCTTACCAGATTTTGGTGGGACGGAAGTGATGATAAGAGAAAAACCAGTTGGATCGCATGGACAAAACTCATAAAATCAAGAAGAGAAGGAGGATTGGGGTTCAGGGACTTACAGTGTTTCAATGATGCTCTATTGGCAAAAGTGAGCTGGCGAATACTCACACAACCGGACTGCCTCCTGGCGCGAGTCTTTCTCAGAAAATACTGCCACGATACACCATTCTTGGAGGGGGGAATCTCGGCAACGGCATTACATGGCTTGAGAGGAATTTGCATAGGCAGAGACCTCCTCAGGCCATATGTAGGGAAAGCAATAGGAGACGGGAAATCCACAAGACTGTGGGATGACCCTTGGCTCTCATTAGAACAACAGGAACGACTCCTAGGGCCACCTACGGAAGCAACAAAAGATATGTTAGTGGTAGAACTAATCTCACCAGTCACAAAAACGTGGGACACGAACAAGTTGAGAGACATCGTCCCGGCAGCAGAGGCAACAATCATGGAACTAAAACCAAGCAAATTGGGAGCGAGAGACACCTACATCTGGCTGCCAACAGCCACAAGAGAATACACAGCAAAATTCGGCTACTACGAACGCCTGAACCAAAACCCGGAGGAACAGTATGAAGATCAAGTGGAACAAGAAGAGAGATATAACTGGTTAAATAATATATGGAACATACATAGCTCACCAAAAATGAAGATGTTCCTATGGAAAGCGATGAATGGGGCATTACCGGTGGGAGAAAACCTGAAGGCCAGGAATATCAACACAACAGTCCGGTGCCCACACTGCGGAGAGGAGGAAACGACGTCACACCTCCTATTCCACTGCAACTTTGCAGCTCAAATCTGGAGAAGAATACCCTGCAAAAGCCAAATTGAACCTATGAGTATTGGAGATATACGGACAGGAATTGAATTGTCGCCAAGCATTATTTGCTTACCGCCCACAGGAATCGGAGAAGGGCCCATCTTCCCCTGGATAGCGTGGAGGATTTGGATCGCCAGAAATCTACTCATCTTTGAGAGGAAGAGTCAGACCGTAGAGGAGGTAGTGACTCAGGCGGTGACTTATGCGAGAGAATGGCAAATGGCACAACAAACGAAGAGAAAAGCAGCGTCTCCGGCGTATACACAATACCGCAGAATCGGACAGATCCCTGGACGGGAATGGATGACATGCAAATCCGATGCGGCCTGGAGAGAAGACACGAAATCAGCGGGCTTTGGCTGGGTCATCTCCAGAGGAAACAGCAGCAACAAAGAAGAGATCCTACACCAAGGATCGGACACACAACGATTCGTCAGATCACCACTCTCTGCCGAGGGCTTGGCGGCGCTCACACGAGCAAGGGATCTCGGAATCAAACACCTCGTCGTCGCCTCAGATTCGCAGCAGCTAATCAAGGCTATTAAGAAGGAGTTCTCCACAAAGGAACTCCATGGGATTCTCCACGAAATCCTGAAGCTATCACTGGATTTTGAGAAGATCGATTTTGTTTTCATTTCACGGGAAAAGAACAGACAAGCCGATGCTTTGGCAAAACAGGCTCTGATTGTAATTGAACCGGTTTAAGTTTAATGGAAAACCAACTATTTGCACAAAAGAAAAACAAATCCATTTTTGCAATATGAAACCAGTAAAAGATTGGGAATTTCTTACCTATAGTGGAGCTACTTACAACTGACAAAAGATGAATCAAATGGAATTTACAAAATCAGACAAGTTTGAGTATTTGTTACTTACAAGTGACGAGGTTGAAGAATCAGACTTTTCAGACCTTCTAGATTCCCATAAATTAACCCTAGTAGAAGACAACACATGCATATTCTCTATAAATGCTGCCACTCAAATTTCTTTCATTTTTCTGTTTTAAACAAAAATGTATTAATTGTTCCTTTTTTCCTAGAAGTCTTAAACCTTTCAGTTTCAAGATCTTTTCCAGTACCATTTAAAAATATTTCTTTTATCAATGCACAATCATTATTACCAATCTTTTGATTTTCTTGTAGAAAGTTGAAACTATCGTTAATAAAACATTATTCAATAAAAATCAATAACGTTAGTTAAAAATTGATAACATGAGATGATTGCTTACAACAACAGAAGAATCAGCACGAGAAGTTGATATTTTTGCGAAATGAAACTAGTAAACCGTTAGATTTTTGTTATCTATAGTATTAACAAATTGCAAATGGACCAAAAAGAGAAATTACAAAAATAGACAAGTTTGAGTATTTGTAACTTACAAGTGACGAACTTCAAGAATTAGACTTATCATACCTTATATATTCCCAGAAATTAATCCTAATAGAAGACAACACAAAGAGCATTTTCTATAATTGCTACCACTGAACTTTCTTTCATTTTTTATTATAAAAAGAAACATGGGAAATTGCTCATTTTATTCCCCAACTATTTGCAATGAGAATTTTTATTCCTCAACTATCACTTACTCACTTTAATTCTTGAAGTGTAAGTTGACTGCGCAAAATTATGATTAAAAAGTCAAACTTTTAATAATAAACATATAATATTAAATAAAATAATAAATTCATCATAACCTTCATTGTTAAACATAAAAGAAAATAAAAATAAAATCTATGAATCATTTTGGTGACTTCTAATAAAATTTAAATAAATTTTTGATAGATTATTTGACAGAAATCTCAAAATTTGGATTATATTTAATCCCTGAAATCCACCAGATTCGAACTAAATATCAATAAAAATCGCAAAACAAATATCTTAAATTGTTTCTTTAGATTTTTTTTTTAAGTATAATGGTGAAAATTATGATGTATTTACAAATTTATTTAACGTTCTATGTCTATTATTCAAAGATTGGTTTTTATTTTCGAAAGTTTGACTTTTCAATCATAATTTTGCGCAGTCAACTCATAATTCAGGAATTAAAGTGAGCAAATGATAATTGAGGAATAAAAATTCTCATTGCAAATAGCTGGGGAATAAAATGAGCAATTTCCCAAAGAAACATAATCATTTTTCTTTTTCTCCTAGAAGACTTAGACCTTTTAGTTTCCAAATCTTTACAAGTTCTATCTAAAAATTATTTATTTTATCAATGCACAATCATTATCACCAATCTTTTAGTTTTTGTTTAGAAAGTTGAAACTACCCATTAATAAAAAATTATTCAATAAAAATAAATAACATTCGTTAAAAATATATAACATGGGATGATTGCTTACAGCAACAGAATAATCTGCAAAAGAAGTAGATATTTTCATGAAATGAACCAGTAAAATTTGTATTTTTGTTATTTACAAGTTACAATTGAAATCTCTGACAAAAATTCCATTTTTTGCAAAATGAAACCAGTAAAAGGTTGGAATTTTTTTCACCTATAGTGGTAGTAACTTACAAGTGACAAAAGAAGAGTCGAATGAAAGTTACAAAATTAAACAAGTTTGGGTATTTGTTACTTACAAGTGACGAGCTTGAAGAATTAGACTTATCAAACCTTCTATTTTCCCAGAAATGAACTATGGTAGAAGACACATGAGCATTTTCTATAATATTGCTACTCAATTTTCTTTCATTTCTTTTTTATTGTAACAACAAACGTAATAATTTTTCTTTTTCTCCTAGAAGGTTTAAACCTTTCAGTTTCCAGATCTTTTCAAGTTCCATTTAAAATTTTTTTTTTCAAGGCACAATTATTAACACCAATCTTTTGGTTTTCGTGCAAAAAAATGTAATTACCTTGAATAAAACATGAATCAGTAAAAATAAATAACATTCATTAAAAATTTATAACATGAGATGATTGCTTACAAGTTACAACAACAGAAAAATTGGCAAAAAGAAGATTATTTTTTTGCATAATGAATCAGTACAATTTATATTTTTGTTACATACAAGTTACAATAGAAAAATCGTACAAAAAACTTCATTTTTGCAAAATGAAACCAAGAAAAGGTTGGATTTTCCTTACCTATAGTGTTAGCAACTTACAAGTGAAAAAAAAGAGGAACCCAATTTACGAAATCAGACAAGTTTGAATATTTGTTACTTATAAGTGACGAACTTGAATAATCAGACTGATCAGACCTTCTAACCTTCTAAATCCCCAGAAATTAACCCTAGTAGAAAAAAATACATGAGCCTTTTCCATAAATGCTACCATTCAATTTACTTTCATTTTTTTTTATTATAACAAACAAAAAAAAAAATTCCTTTCGTCCTAGAAGGCTTAGACCTTTCACTTTCCAGATATTTTCAAGTTCCTTTTAAAAATATTTACTTTTTTAAGGTACAATCTTTTGGTTTTCGTGTAAATTGAAACACACCGTTAATAAAAACATTACAAGGTGGTTGTCCCGCACCTTGTGCGGGTACAATATTTTTAAAATACATTAATTAATTAAAAGTTTTAATAAGATAAATAGTATAACTTTTTATAATAAATGATTTTCTATAATGAAATTCTTCTATAATAATTTAAGTTTTTAAAATGCACCAAAAACTAAACCCTACACCCATCAATATAAATCCTACATCCTAAACCCAAACCCTACAGTGTAACACCACCCCCTAAACAACCCAAACACCATAGTGTAACACCCTCCGCCCCCTCCCCCCTCCCGCCAATCTGTACACCCGAACCCACATTTTAGAAATTGGTTCTATATTTACTTTTATTTTATTTTTAACATAAGTTTTTTTATATCGGTAATTTAGTGTATTCAAATTTTTTTAAATGCATCAACAACTAAATTTTACGCCCATCAGTATAAACCGTACATCATAAACCTCAACCCTATTTTATCTTTTTATTTTAATTTGTCTTTTACTTCATATTTTTTCTTCATTTTCTACTATTTTTTTTCTTATTCTTATCAAACTTTCTATTCTCTTTTAATTTTCTCTTCATCGTCATCTTATTATTTCCTGCTTTTTATCAGTTTTCTTCCTTTTATTTACAATTTGTTTTTCAACTGTCTTTGTGTTCTTATTCTTCGTTTTTTTTATCTTTTGATTTTTTTTCAACTTCTTTATTGTTCACATATTCTTCAAATATTTTCTTCTTTTGTTCTGTTTCTTTTGAAAAAAACAGAAAACGTTATACTCTCGTCATTAGAATTAGGGTTTCATGAATATTAAGTTGATATATAAAAGAAAAGATGTTCATACCCTCTATTTTTGGGGAAGAATACTTCTGGCTTGGGACCATATATGAACTTCTATTCCATCAGCTTACAAATAATGAATTTTCTGTTACAAAAGTGAGAGAGGAAGTAGTTAGAAGCGGATCAATAGATGATATTGACAGAAAATAACAAATAATCAGTTCATAAATAGTTTTATTAGAACTAAGATCGAACTAAAACAATTAAGGTACATGTGAAGAAGAATATGAGATCTAAGAACTAAAATTACGTATTGAAAGACAAATTGCAAATCGTAATGAAAATTGTGTTGTTTTTCCAAGATCGTATCTATTTATATAATACAGGTCAGTTAAGAATCTTAGGGTTTACTTATTATTTATCTTCCTAAAATTTATAATATCTTCCAAAAATAAGGCGGGGATATGGTAGTTAACATATTTATCTAAAAATATTAAAAGTCAATAATCAAATTCGTTTTTAATAAAAAAGGAAAAATTCGAAGATTTAATTGAAAGATTTTCATTAAGGGCATCTCGGTAATTCCGCGGCTGAGAGTTAACGTGGTGGCTCCATTCACGAAAATTGATTTGCAAATACTAATATGATTCAATATAAATAAATAGCATTCATTAAAAGTTTATAATATAAGATGATTGCGTACAAGAACAGAAAATCAGCAAAAGAAGTTGATACGACGTCTTTTGGTTGAAATGGATTCTCAATTGGAAAATCCGGTTCGTCTCCAGTTTTGGTTGAGTGACGGTCTCTACTCAAATCAAACCGGGTAAATCAATTTGGGGATAATGGAAAGAACGACGTTGTTTAAGTCAAAACTCATCTTCTTCCCTGTGAGCTCGCGATATTGTCAAATCAATTTTACTCTCCACATATCAAGCCGTAAGCGGAACCCACTTGTTTTGTTGCTATTCACGAAACTTATCTTGAATTTTGTTTAAATTAACACTTGACATAATCTAAATCTCAAAAATGTTTAGTCATCGAAACAATAAAAAAATTGAGATAGCCGTCACAAAGTAAAAGCAGAAGTTCTAATTTTTTTTAAATATCGAGTGTGCTGGCCTGAATGGCTGAATCTATAATATAGCGACATAGGCTTAACAGTTTCTAATGTACATGAGGAAACTCTAAACTGAGATAGCCGTCACAAAGTAAAAGCAGGCCAGCACACTCGATATTTATAGCTACAAGGTGAACTCTATGTTGACCTAACGTATATGTGGTTTCTAAGGGTTTTGCCATCTAGAAAATAAAGCGAAATGAAAATGTTAAACTACGTTGGATGCAAACTCTTTATACCGCCGGAGACAAAGTTCCCAAACCCAACCATTGATGAACAAATCAACATATAAAGACATTAGAATAAAATCCAACTCACCTTAGTCACAAAAGAGAAAATGTAATCATGTTGATGGTTTATCAGTGTTAGGCTTGATCTGAACCCGAGTTGATGGTTTATCGGTGATAGGCTTGATCTGAACCCGATATAGCTTCCTCCAACAAATTATAACAAATAAATGTGCTTGTGGAACCCTACCATGGTGGAACAATTTGCTAATGGATTGTGAAAGATTAATAAGAGGTAATGTGAATTTGACCATTACCTAAAATATAGTAAAGTGCAACCAACCTCTAATGTGCTTAACAGAAATATCACATAAAAAATTATCACAAAATGGCAATCAACTTACGGTTATAGATACGAAATAAGCAAGATCTTACCCATTCATCAATGGAATTTCACTATTTCAGCTATATATACAGTAATTTACTTTGCACTAGGAGAGAACCCGCTCTACGTGCGGGTTTAAATTTTCGATAGTATTTTGTTTACTTGTTTTTGTTTTTTCACATTTTGGACATCGTGTGTGACTCTCTGTTATACAACTTAATATAGTTCATGCCAAATAAGGTTTTACAGTACATATGGGGGGTGTATTGGAAAAGGGATTTCAATGATTTTAGGTGATTTTGAGGTCTTTTTAAAAATCTCTGTTATTCAAATAAGGATTTTAAAATGTCATTTCAAATTCAGTGTTATTGAATATGGAGTTTTAGAAAGATCATTTAAAATCACTTATCAAGCCCTGTTATTGAATTAGTCATTTGTGAATCTTAAATCACATCCACTGTTATTCAAAATGAGTAGAAAAACTTATGAGAAGATTTCTAGGAGATTTGACAACCAATATGAGTAAAAAATACACGTAACCAAAATAACACCTTTGAGCAAGGTTTTGGAGAAGCTTTTCATAAAAAAATATATATATTAAAAAAAACAAAAAAAAAAAGAAATAGCCATCGAAGCAGCAGACATCGAGCACGGGATTGTTTCAAGAGACTGTGAAGAAACTAATGTCGATTTGCCCTGAAATCCAATGAATGTTCACTGTGTTTCGCTTGTTCGGATCATCTGCGAACCATGATTTCAGATTCGATCACCAATGCTTCTGCTACTGGCCCAAGGGATTCCAGGAAGAAGAAGAGGGTAAGTTTTCTCTTCGAAATCTCTGAAATTGGTTAACTTTTCGTTCCTCTCTGTTTCTCTCCTTGCTTAATTTGAGTTTCTTTGGTTATCTTATTGCATTGTGCTCGCAGAACAATAAGTCGGCGAAGATTAAGCAGAGCAAGCTCGGTCTCCGCCGTGAGCAATGGCTTTCCCAAGGTATCATAGGAACAATCATCATCTTTCTCCTTATTTGTCTGTTTGTGTGTCTACTTTGGATTGATTGATTCTGGTTTTTGATTTCACTATTAGCTTCGATGACCAATAAGGGATGCAAAGAGGAGGCAAGTGCCAATCGCAGTGAGAAACCTGATCAGAGAGAGAAAATTTAGAAGGGGTGCGTAGAGAAGAGGATAGTAGCGGTGGGAATGTTCATCACCAGAGCTTTATGGAGTTACCTCCTGCTGCTTCTCCCACTGAAATTATGATGAGATCATCAATCAAATGTTGTGTGAAAACAAACTAAGCATAAAAACTCATATTGCAAGTTATGATACTCTGGTATAACATATATACATCGACTCCAACAAGAATAAGATTTTCTTCTTCTTTTTGGTTCACTGCAATTCACCAACAGGTGCTTCGTTGAGCCATAGGAAGTGGATGAAATACAGCTTCGCACTGACACTAACCTGCACCCATGAAAGAAGAAACATTTACACAGATTTCTCGGAAAATCGAAACAAGTTCTTCAAACAGATCTTAACATTAAAACCAAAAAAAAAGAAAAAGTTCTTCAAACAGTTTCTAGGAGAAAAAAAATCAAACCTTGTAAGGAGTTGGGTTTAATCTCCTCATATGATCAGGTCGCATGTTCTCAAGCTGCTTGATACAACGGTCTCTTATCTCTTTTCAGTGGTGGTAATTCTTCTCTTGCTTCATCTTCATGTCAAAGAGAGAGAGAGAGAGAGAGAGAGAGAGAGAGAGAGAGAGAGAGAGAGAAACAATCAGTTAAATACATCAATTGTCATTATAGATTTTACTACAAAAATGAAAAATCTTTTACCTGCAGTTCCACGCCAATAACATTTGAGGAGCTCTTCAACACGTTGTGGCACTACATATGCTCTTTTCGATTCATTAAAAGGATGACGACATAGTAAACGCTCACCAACCTTCAGAAACAATAATCAATATAAAGTGCGCAATAAAGTGATGCGATTAAAGAGAGCTAAGTTTTCAATAAGGTGATGCGCAATATAGTTCGTTCTCTCCAGTCATTATATCAACCAGTAACGAGATACCTCTTCTTCATTCTCTCTTTCTAGTGTTGGGTTATGTTTAGATTTTATTTCAAAATGCTTCATTGTCGATAAGCTCATGGTCGAGTTTATGGAATATGGTGATGGGCTCTTTGTTTCACGTGAATCTTGTGAAGGTGTTTGTGGCTTTTTTATTTTAATGACACAAAGCACTCAAAACCCACCTAATCCCAAGAGAATCCTCCCAAAATCTCACAAGACATTTTCTTAAATCTCCTTAAATCTCACCAAAATCTTTTAAAACCTCCTAAAATCTGTTAAAAGCACCTAATATACAAAATCATTCAAAATCACCTAAAATCTTTAAAATCCCTTTTCCAATACACCCCCCATAAGCTTAACTCTACCGATGTTAAAAATACAAAGGTTAACTCAACCACATTTGCTTCTCCAGGTTCATTGTATATCTAATCAAAGTTTTTGAAAACCATTCTTGGCACCGGACTGTTGGAAGGAAAATAATTGTATAATTTAGGTTGTATATTCGAGATCTTGCCAACAGTGGGAAGATATTACTTGCTGCATAAACAAATTATAAACTTCAAATGGAGAGTCTTTAAAGTGTCTATTAACAAAAGAAACAAACTGAAGAAACAGAGAAAATAAAAAAATGGTTAGGCATCTTTTTATTCAAACCCATCCAACATGAGAAACAAATGCATTAGAAAACAATACCTTGAGAACAATAACAATCTTTGCTTAAGCTTCCTTTGTGAAGAGCTATAGATTTTTAAGAAAATTTCTGTCTATCTTTAAAATAAAGAATGGTGTCCAATGGTGTCCGATTCAATCTGGATTTGAAGAAAAAAGTGAGAAGTTCATTACCCTTGTTGATAAGAAATAATATCTCTAAGTCGAAATGCATAAGATGTAACAATTAAGTAACGAAAGTACAATCTTAATAAGAGGTTTTGATAGAGTTTTATTTATTGAGTCAAACATGTGGTTATTGAGCCCTTTAAAAGTTTGCTTAGTTTGCATGCATTGCATTGCTCCACCAAATCCAATTATAAGTTTCAACTCAAAATTCAAGATACGATGACAATACAAACACACAACGTCATTATGATAACATCGTTATGTTTATGAGATTAACAACGCTCAAATGAAGCTAAACGAATAAACAATTCGCACTCCAAAAATAGCTTTTGACTTGTACTGCATTTCTTCTTTAACCGTGTACTAAACCTGTATACACACCAAAACATGAGATATTGTATGTATAGCTCAATACATAGAGGATCCCAAAGTATACGGGTGCCTTTATGTTTCATTTTGGAAACAGCACATAGTGGAAATATCCTTTTAAGGCCATCTAACATTTCAAGAGGTTCTAGTCTGGAAAACATGATTAATACATTTGTATTTGCTTAACGATGAATAAGAAATCACTCTATTTTTCAAGAATCAAAATGCAAGGAAATGACAATAAATTTAGATTTTAGTAAACAACTCAAGTAAGTTTCATTGTATAAAATCTTTATGATTTGTTTCGACTTTGTATGAAACTCGAAAATCAAGCAAATTTACCAAATCCTCATCAATATATTTTGGAATCAAATTATTATAAAATATGCCCTATGAAAAAAATAAAAATAAAGCATTATTAAAGAACAAACCTTTAGATGCAGTTAGTCTTGAGTCCTTCCTTTACATGGATAAGAAACCTATCTTAAGAATCAAATAACAAAATGAAATTTGGTTGTGCTAAAACTCGAGTGATGACGGAAGCCATCTTCCTGAAATATATTGTTTATAATACATTTAGCACTAAATAACTTTGCTTCTTTAGCTACGACATTTCTGCATGTTGAGGATAAGTTTCCACGTACTTCACTCCAATCTCCACTCAAATCAATCACTCTGGTCAGAGGAGAGTAAGAGTTACAACAAAAGTTTCATGTCACCCACAAAGGGTTTTTACAAACACAACAGAGACGCAGAGAAAGAGTAAGAGAGAGGATTATTTACAAGTGGAGTAGAGAGAGACAGAGAGAGAGAGAGAGAAGTCAAGGTACGGTCAAGCGATCAGAGCCATTAACCGGAGACTCCAATGTAGAGATAAGACGAAGGAGATGGAGTTTCTCTACAAAAAGCTTCATCACTTTTACTTCCTCTTCATCAGATGCAAAGGCCATACTTATGCTTAGCTCTTGAATCGCCTCTCCGTATTGCCTGCTCAACAATTCAAGATTTTTTTCATTCCATCAAACAAAACAAGTAACAAAAGAACCAATCTCTCTCATCTATATAACTTTTGAAAGTGTTTTTATTTTCTTTACTTGATGTGGTAGAGCATCATGCCAAGGTCTCTGCGAAGTTTCCAGTTGTGAGGCTCCAAAATCAACAGCCTTTCTGCAGCCGCAATAGCCAACCTACAATCAGCAGAAACCGAATGTTAGATTGGTAAACAATTCAATGGATTCCTTCTTAAATGGCATAACCTATAGGAGATAGGACAAGCTTTGTACCTAAGATCTTGAGGCCGCAATGGAATATCATATTTTCTGATTTTGTTAAGTTGACTAATAGGAGAAGTCAGCATTAGTCCAGGAGATGACCTCGACGCAAGTCTCCAATGAACCCTCTGAAAACGAACCAAAGGCAATAGAATATAATCTGTGTCAACGTGAAACCAGTTTGAAGTTAAGAATGTGCAGTTATAGTTACATAGGTGATAGGACTTACAATCAAATTGGCGAGAGCAATCCCTATAATGTCTCTGTTCGTCGCAATATCCAAGTCTTGTAGTGACTTTGCGGTTAAATCTGATGCCATGGATCTAGGATCATCAACGCAGCGTCCATTGACAATACCAAACAAGCTCTGTCCTGAAGTTGTGTTAAAGAGTTCTTCAGGATACTCCGTCCTAGGCCAAATCAAAAAATCTTCCCCAACTCGAGATCCCACAATAGGCACACCAAGGCGCTGACAAACTTCAATGTATATTACGCTAAACAAAAATGCTGCACCATGGAAGACAACAAAACCCCATTCAAGATTAGAGGCAACAAATGAAACGCCTTTTGAGAAAGCCTAAAAGGGGAGACTTTTACCAGTGCCGCATCTACAGTTAAGTACAGAGTGAAGGTAAAAGTATTTGGGGTCTAAAGGAATAGATGTCCTCTTGAAGCCTCTCAGGTCGAAGAGTACTGTGTTCACAGCTTCAAGGACTTGAACCGAGTGGCGGCCGATGTCTCGTGAGACTAATTCTGCCTCTACTTCTTTGGAAATTGCATCTAGTCTGTTTAGTCTGCTGTCTTTGACGTTCCCCTGGAGTTCTTATCGCTCTCCATGTGAATATCACAGCAATTGCACCAATAGATCTTGAATCCTAAGTTTTCACACCAAATGATAGCAAAAACGAATCAAACTACTTGCAATCATCCCCATACTGAAAAGATATAATATTTTCTCCACCAAGCAGGTAGATTACAGTCAAATTTGAGCTGAATGATTAGTTTCGTCAATTTTTAGATTGAAACGATACATAGAGAACATATTCAACTGAATAATTAGTTCCCTGGAGTTTGCATTTGATCAATACACAAGCTTTTACATACCGATACGGTGGTGGTGACGCTTACTCCATCGAATCCAATTCCGGAGAGAATGTCGGAGCTATGATTCCGGGTATCAATCGTAGTCACGAATTGACAGTGAGCCGTGTGGAATTGGGGAAAACGTTCTGGGAAAAAAAGTGAGATCAGATGGCGGAGCTTTATATAGAGGCAGCGAGCATTGAAAGCTGAAACGGCAGAGGCAGGGATGTGAACAGTCTCGCCGGAGGTCGGTGTGGATCTGGCGGCCGATCGCAGCGGAGCAGTCGGGAAAAAAAGTTGCGTGGAAAAAAAAATTATTAGGGTTCAAAACGACGTCGTTTTGGCGTAAGAGGGAGAGAAAATAAAAATGCTTTTTTTTAAAGGACAAAACGACGTCGTTTTGGTGTGAAAGGAAAAAAAAAAAAAACCCAAAACGACGTCGTTTTGGTGTTTGGCGAAAAAAAAAAGGGGTGCCACGTGTCCCCAGCTGGAGAATGTCCAAGCCTTATTAGTTATGTAGATTTGTAT